TCAAGGAGCATCATTCCTGTGATTTTGAACGAAATCGAAGGGGTCCGCCCAACGTGCCATATGCAACATATGCAATTTGAATGTGCACGGATGCGTATATCTGGAAAAGTCTTTGATGTCGGTCAAAAGTAGCACTGTTTTCGTGTTCAGGAGGTCAAGGAGCATCATTCCTGTGATTTTGAGCGAAATCGAAGGGGTCCGCCCAACGTGCCATATGCAACATATACAATTTGAATGTGCACGCATGCGTATATCTGGAAAAGTCTTTGATGTCGGTCAAAAGGAGCACTATTTTCGTGTTCAGGAGGTCAAGGAGCATCATTCCTGTGATTTTGAGCGAAATCGAAGGGGTCCGCCCAACGTGCCATATGCAACATATGCAATTTGAATGTGCACGGATGCGTATATCTGGAAAAGTCTTTGATGTCGGTCAAAAGTAGCACTATTTTCGTGTTCAGGAGGTCAAGGAGCATCATTCCTGTGATTTTGAACGAAATCGAAGGGGTCCGCCCAACGTGCCATATGCAACATATGCAATTTGAATGTGCACGGATGCGTATATCTGGAAAAGTCTTTGATGTCGGTCAAAAGTAGCACTGTTTTCGTGTTCAGGAGGTCAAGGAGCATCATTCCTGTGATTTTGAGCGAAATCGAAGGGGTCCGCCCAACGTGCCATATGCAACATATACAATTTGAATGTGCACGCATGCGTATATCTGGAAAAGTCTTTGATGTCGGTCAAAAGGAGCACTATTTTCGTGTTCAGGAGGTCAAGGAGCATCATTCCTGTGATTTTGAGCGAAATCGGAGGGGTCCGGCAAGTTCACTTTAGGACGGGAAATCTGAATATCACTTGTATTTGCCTCTTGGCTTAGCTCAATAGGTTTATCGACTGTTTTTCGCCCTTTGGTCTAACAATGCCTCTGGTGCTTAAGTATATTGTTATTGCAGTATGTATAGCTAATGCCCTTCATAAATACGAAGCTGTCACGTGTAAAACGACTCCAAAAAGTGAGAAAAATTGCATGACCTTGAACGACCTTGAACTTTAGAGACTTCTCCTGAGAAAACTATGCAACCGCGTTTGATGCAAATTAGTTTTTTGTAAAGAACTACTCAGTCTTAATCATTTCTGAAATTTTCTTGAAATTTGATGAGGTCCGATTTTTCCGGGAAGGTTTACTAACCAGAATATTGTACTAGTAAAACAAACGTGAATAACTTGGAAAATACGTAATGTCGGTAAATAAAAAAATGATTTTTGCACTTAGGAGCTCATGGTCTATCTGCTGTGCAATTTTCAGCCAAATCGAAGGGGTCCGCGAATGTGCACGCGAATCTGAATGTGAATATGATGCAACTATATGCACGTCTTATCAATACACAAATGTTTTATTTCAGACAAGAAGGATTTATTTGCCTGAAGTCTTGCGTCATGTGCTACTGCTTTGATTCCAAAGACGCTCTCCGGGTCGGGGTAATTTAGTTCTTCATCGATCGATAAGAGATTTTGATTCCATTAAATATTGATATCCAAATTGATAAGCTCGGCACCATGGAGTAAGGGCGTCCCCACAGGGGTGACGCAGGAAATATGAATGGCGTTTACACCGACAGTAGTTTCCCACAGCCGGCAATGGGAATCTCCTGTCGGTGTAAACGCCACTATAGTCCCATCCAACTCAAACGCTGAGGAATATCCCCGCACTTTTGAGGACGGAAATCTATGGACCTGCTCGAAAAATAGTGGATAAAATACGGCGAGCTTTCAGTTTTATGGTTGGGTCTCCCTTCCGAGGCACATATTTACGGGGGATATTGGGTCATATTCCCCCGGCGTCCTGATGATCGGCGCCCAGCACAACGTCGAAGGCGCCCTGATACGCGGCACTGCTAGATCTGTGAAGGTGCCCAGGTTGCTGCCGCTCGAATTTTGGTCGCCTACTTAACAAAACCTCTGTTGGTGCCATCTCAGTTTCCTCGAGGTCAGGCAACCTTCACACGTCGTTGGCTACCTTGGCTGGCCGGCGACTCGTTCCCCTCGTGGCGACGCTCTTGACATCCAGTCAAAAGTTGGAGTGGCTGGCGCCCCCAGTGGGGGCCGGGGAAGGGACAGTGGGCCTACACGTTGCTCTCTTCCCGAGCCTATGGTGACTTGGCTCAACTCTCCTCAATAGAATCTGGATTCTGCACGCTGTATTAACATGGGCGTAGACACCACTACGGACAATACGGACAGTGGGTGTGACAATCAGTAGTGCCATTCATATAGAGGGTGGCATATATGAGCGGAGAGGCAACAGTACAGCTGAGCGGAGAGACAACATTAAAACAACAGTACAGCTGGCGTTGCATGGAGCTGCAGGCAACCGGACAGCGGAGGCTTGCGAAAAATAAACAATTCGTCACTTCAACGTATAAACAATAGTATAAAAAGCAACATAAACACATATTCTCATGGTCGAACCCATGCACTAGCGGCTCACGGCGGGCACAGGCACGCAGTGCGGTAGCGGTACCGGATCACACGTCATGGGCGTTGTCTCAGCAGTCAGCATAGGTTGTTATGAGCGGAGAGGCAACAGTACCTACAGCTGAGCGGAGAGACAACATTAAAACAACAGTACAGCTGGCGTTGCATGGAGCTGCAGGCAACCGGACGGCGGAGGCTTGCGAAAAATAAACAATTCGTCACTTCAACGTATAAACAATAGTATAAAAAGCAACATAAACACATATTCTCATGGTCGAACCCATGCACTAGCGGCTCACGGCGGGCACAGGCACGCAGTGCGGTAGCGGTACCGGATCACACGTCATGGGCGTTGTCTCAGCATAGGTTGTTCGCAATCTAGTTGAAGCCTAAGAAGACGGCCAGTGGGGTCTCACTGCTGCTGAGGCGACCTCGGAGACGATGCGTCGCCCCTCCTGTCGGCGACCTGCGGTGAGCAGGACTCCAGATAGCTGTCTGGCACGTTGCCGACACTGCCAGACGCTGTCAGCAGGCCTCACTGCTGCAAGTGATGTGCAGATGGACGCCAGGTGACTTCGTCTGCAGGCGATTCCGGAGACCGCGGCCTCACCAGGCAGTACCACCTGCATCGCCATGTCGGTGTTTCTAGAAATGGAAAAATAACAGTATCGGTGAAGGACAAGCAATACAATGTATTCTGTTTTCCTCTCTTGCAGGTATACATAATCTACAATTATCATTGTTCCTATTTCATTCAACTGAACCTGAAAATTCCATATTGGCACATTGTTTGACAAAATTTGTGTAGTTGGGAACAGGGGCGACGCCACGGTGCGACGACTGGAGGGGACATTGACCATTTTGGAGGGAACGAGGACCATTTCAAGTCGATTCTTTCCATGCAACGTCATAGGCGTAATGTTAAAATTTAAAAAAGTGGAGGGGACGAGATCCCCTCCGTTCCCCCCCCCCCCTGTGGCGACGCCCTTGGTTGGGAAGCAGATTGTTTGAAATACATGTTTGGCTGAACAGTGCAGAAAATATTTCATTGATCACTATAGCTGCAACAAAAATACTGAGACAGAAAACATTTGCGCTTACCTGGCTCCTTAGTCAGTCCCGCACAACGGAAGTGGTACCATTTATCGCAGCCGTCGCATCCGACCATCGGTGCTGCACTGATGCTGCTGCACTCCCCACATTCCCAGCACCTTAGGAGCGTCTTGGCTGTGAAAAGATTACATGAGTCATGGCGCATACATGAATAGTAAGATGTTTTATATGTTTAACATCGCATAGCAAAGACACAACAGCTGGGAGTCAAGTGTAAGCCAAAGTGTAAGCCCTGCCATGTTTTGCAGACTGGATTTTAAGCAAGAAAAGCTTTGCTAAAAATGACGCTTGACGAAGCCTCATCCTACTGGGCTGTCTGACATGTCTCCCTGTAAAAAGCATGTGGCCCTTATATTGTATATATGATGAATATGTTAATAATGCAGAGAAAACACAGTATAAATTATACCCAACGTTTCATCTTAATCGACTTTGTCAAGGGTGTTTGAACAGCTTGAGATGAGTGAAGTGTAAGGGTACCTAGGTACATCTGAAAATAAACTGAATCTGCGTTCAATAAACATTGATTTTGATAATAAATTTCACAAATCAACTGCTAATAACAATCATACTAAAATAGCACGACAGATAACTAACAATCGCATGAAGAACTTCTTGATTCGCCTTGACATTGTCGTCCGAACGAATGTTGTCTGAAGTTACACATTTGTCTTTTCTGCGCAGCATCTGTGTTTGCCATTTACCGCACCAATGTTCGCCAGCGGTGGTGACTTTTCCTTACCTGCTCACGAAACGTCATACACGACATGACGTCACCCGAAGACGTCATCAAAAAGTCCAGCTCTTAGGCGTGTCCCTCTTACCTCGTATTGCCGGTAATTGCGGGGTATCCTACCATCCATGCCCGCTCCTGGTAATTTGTAATTTGAAATAATTATTATAAATTATAATATCTTATTTCTCAGCCACTGCGTGAGTACGATTCTTCCTATTTCCATAAAAGTTTAATATCTAGAAAATAACGATTTAGGTTTTCTGCAAAATGCAAAGAAAAATGGGAACACAAACAAGGGATGAAATGACAAGATTCTTGTTCTTACAGATTAAGATAGCTATGAAACAGATTAACCAGTGCGCGATGGGCTAGGCCTTGGGTCAAATTGCAATTGAAATAGTTAATGCATGGGCTAAAATTGTTAGTATTATTTATTTGATAATAGAGCGGGCATGGATGGTGGTCAGGAATGTTTACACACCCTTGTTTTCACTAGAGTGTAGTTTACCAGAGCAGATTTTATAGGAATTAACTAATATCTGAATGAGGATGAATGGTGCATAGGGTATGAGTTAGGCCACACACAGGATTAGGATCTTCCTTCAAGTTGCAGCTGAGGTTTGTGGTCTTGGTTTAGCTTTGTTGTCTGTTGACATGTCTTGTTCCTGCGGTTTGCAGGTCAGCACAGAAACTCAGCATGGGAAGTGAATTTGTTACTGAAGTGCCAAGCTCTCTCAAGCAGCTTGCACGTCTGGTGGTCCGAGGCTTTTACAAGATAGAGGATGCTCTTATTATTGATATGCTGGTCAGAAACCCATGTAAGTATTTGTTTTTTCAGCTGTCAAGCATGATTTTGAAAGGTGGACTGGCTGACACCAATAAATAATGGAGAACAAGTGTGGACAATGGACAGTGAGCATTTGGTGTCATGCCATGTGTGGTAATGTTTTCCTCATTTTTACTTCATTTGCAGGTATGAAGGAGGACGACATCTGTGAATTACTCAAATTTGAGCGCAAGATGCTTCGAGCAAGGATAGACACATTGAAAAATGACAAGTTTATTCAGACAAAGATGAAAATGGAAACAGGTCCAGATGGAAAAGCTCAAAGGCAAAACTATTACTACATCAACTACAAGGTGACTCACATTTGCTCAGTTGATTTATTCTTTATGAGGCTCGCCACACCTGGTGGCCACCTGGCGAGTGTCGCCTGTTGCCAGGTGTTCACCTTTCTTACTGATTCATCACTAACATACTTGTTTATTGAGCTAAAAACTGAAAATATTCAGTGTTAACCCATTAGATACGCTTGGCAGCTTTTGCTGCCACAGGACAAAATAGCGCCGCATTCCTAAACGTTGCGGTGAACTTTCAAAGTTCTCACCCGAACGGAAAACGAAAACAATGCACGTCATGTGCGCTCCGAATTATTGATCGAGAAAGCGAATGTGCTGAGAAATAAACAATTTATCGCGCGGGTGCAAGGGGCGCGCGATGGCGGCCGTGCGGCGGACACCAAAGAAGTCAGTTGCGAAGGTGGTGTGAATAAATGTTACCTTTTTATTATTGATTATTGTAAAGAAATGTGTGATTATCAATGGGAAGAGCTTAGGTGCGACATGAATTTCTCTAAGTATCGCCAATCGTGCGTTATATTTAAGTGGCAGCAAAAGCTGCCAGCCGTATCTTACGTAGTCAAAAATGGAGCAGTTACGTCCTTTTTGCTATGTCATTCGTAAGTGAGCAACAATGTCTGGCTTTATGGCTCATAGTGTAATGCCCCAGTTCTTTGCTTTTCCAAAAATGGTCATTGCCGGGGTTTCTGCTATTTATTCTTGTCTGCAGAGCATTGCATACCAACACACTACCAGGCGTGTAATGTATTCCGCCATTGCTGAAGCAGGGACGTTGAACGGAGTGGTGCCGAACAAACTGTCATCAGAGGCGCCATCCCTCAAGGGGCGCGCCGTCGCCTAAGGGAAGGTGGTGCCGTGACTCTATAGATGAACGGGAAGAGGGGCGCCTGCTAGGCTTGTTGGGGCGCCTTTGAGGCCTAACTATGGGGTCGCCCCCGCCCCGCTCCCGCCTCCCATGCAAAAGAGGGGCGCCTACGAAGGTCATGACCATAATGGCGCATCTGCACGAAAGAGGGGCGCCTGCATGCCGAAGAGGGGCGCCTATGAAGCCCAATGGGGCGCCTCTACGAGAAAGAGGGACACCTGTAAGGTCTATAGGGGTGCATGTAATGTCCATAGGGCACCTTTGTGCGAAAGAGGGGCGCATTGCATATGAAAAAGAGGCGCATTGCACAAGAAAGAGGGGCGCCTCTGAGACCTATAGGGGCGCATTTGATGACCAAATGGGCGTTTACATGGGAAAGAGGGGTGCCTCTAAAGCTTAAAGGGACGTCCTCCATGTGAAAAAGGGGCGCCTGGGACTTCAGCGCCCTTCCGAGCGGTCCGAGGTCGCCGGAAAGTTTGCATATGTCCAGCTCCTGCTGCAATATCCTCCAAAATAATTCGATTGGGTTTAGGCCAGGACTGTTCCCTAGCCAAGTGTCCTTCCCCCAGATATCGGACAGGTGGTCCTGGCACCGCCTAGTTCCGGAAGATCGATGAGATGGAGTACCGTCCAGCATGAAAATGCTGTCCGACCTGCGGGACACCATGCGCCGTTGGAGCACGGGGTAGTGGTCTTTTAATGCCAAATGCACGCTTTTCCAGTATGTTTTCTAGGTAGTAGTCGGGATCGACTTCGTCTTTTGCTAGATCACGTCCAGCTGGTTCAGCTCAGGCCCTGCTAGGGCATCGTGATCGTTCGACATACCATTGCGGCGATAATATTTCGCAGAACTCTGTCGGAACTTGGGCCGCGTTTTCAGCCCATGCTCGTTTTGGGGGTCCGTGTGGTGAAACCATTGAAACGGAGACTCGTCGCCGAACTAGACCCGCTTCTACATACCTACTCCGTTTCCACTCTTCTACCGGCCAGATTCTCCGTTTCGTGCAAATCTGAGGGCTCTGGGCTTGCTGATTTTCGTTATTTTGGCCGCACCAATAGTCAGGCGCCTTCAGTCCAAGGGCGTTCCTCCCTTATCAATGGACAATATTATCCGAGTGATCATTATGAATAAGACTTCAGATTCTCCGCAGAATGGTCAGACTTCCCAGGTGCTTTCTTCATGACGATCTTGGCGACGGTTGAGAGTTGAGACGCAGGAGGACCATGCTGATTGGGGCTTATGCGTGACGCTACTTGTCCCCAAACTTCTTCCACCAGCGCTTGTTGGTGAAAACGGGGGCTTAGAAGTGTGAGGCAGCGTCCTTCCATGTGTTGCCACTTGCCAGCTTGGAGCATGCCAACAGCGCAACTACGAACCTCTCAACTGTAAAGCTAAACCTTTATGCTTAGACGTTCAGTAAATGCGCCGTTCAATGGTTAATTAATTACCCATGCCAGTGACCCCCATTGGTAAATGTCAGATTTTCAGATAATCTCCGCTTCAGAGAAAGACTCAGGGACACAATTCGTTGAAAGGAACGCGATATTTAGGAGCACATTGGAAACACGCCAAGTTGCTTTAAATAAACGGTCGACGGAAGTCATCAAAACCTTCGTCGCATCCTATATAAGATTTTGTGGGGAGGGGAAGCGCGTGTGAGCTGAAATAATGAGAGAAAGAACATGATCTCTCAGAACGAGCTGAACTGTTAGCTGAGGTCTGGATTTTGAGTTCATTATTCTTGAGAATTATTGGCTACGGTCGTTATTTGCAGGCTACGGTCGAATGGAAATCCGAACAATTACACATATTCAAGATCATATCTGGTACGTAAATAAAATAGTTCGTGAAAATTGTACATGCACCAACAGGAGACACTCTGTGGCAAAGGTTGTTGGTATCGAAAGATCATTTCCTCGCGGTTTTGATATGTTTGTGCTTTGAAATGTGACAAACCACTCCATTTTTGACTATGTAAGATACGCTTGGCAGCAAAAGCTGCCAGACCGGAAACGTACACTTCCGGTTTCGTGCTCTGGCTAAAAATGCACATGTTTTCTCCTAAAGGGTGCCTGACAAACATATGTTAAAATCGCAGTGAAAGTCGACAAAAAAGTTTTCGGCTCTAATGGGTTAATTAATAGCAATACAATAAGTAGCAGGCAACATTTGAATGGTCCCTAGACATAGTTCTAAAATCACTTGAGATCTTATCTACATCTTTCACATGATTTTATCATTTTCAGATATTTGTCAATGTAGTCAAGTACAAGCTAGATCACATGCGTCGGAAAATGGAAACTGAAGAACGAAATGCAACCAGCCGGTCAAGTTTCAAGTGCCCGAGCTGCGAGAAAACCTACACTGATTTGCAGGTCAGCCGTTATATTCATATTCCCCGCTGTTGTGTTTGTTACGGAATAGGCCGCGGAATCGTGAGTTATGTTTACGATTCTTTGTGCTGTATTTGTGTATTTTGATTGTATCTCGATTTGCACCCTACACCGCCACCGCTCACGCTGACCCTGTTGGCCCGGTCCGGCACGGTCTCAGGCGGACCAGCTGTTTGACCCGGCCACCGGCGAGTTTCTATGCACGTTCTGCAACACGGCTGTGGAAGAAGACGAGGCGGCCATGCCGCGCCAGGACTCGCGCATGATGCTCGCTCGGTTTAACGAGGTTATGGAGCAGCTGTTCGTGCTGCTGCGGGAGGTGGAAGGTGGGTGCGAGAGATGGGTGGCGTGTGGGTCTGATCGGAACCGGAAGGTGGAAGGTGGGTCCGGGCTAAAGATGGAGGATGGGTCCGTCGGGGAAGGAGGTTGAAGATGGACCCGTAATTTGGGAGGCAAATGGAAGTTGGGTCCGGTCGGGAGGGAGGTGGGTCGGGTCGGAGATGGGTCTAGGCATAGGTGGGCATCGTTCCCCAAAATTGTAACTTCGTTACTCGTTCTTCCGTTCCTTCACGACGTGACTCCCGTTACTCGTTCCTTCGTTCATCTGCAAATAATGTAACGGAAGTTCTTTAGTCCGTTACTCCGTTACAACAAAAGAAAAACGCGTTAACATGTTGTGTATTTCACACATTTCTGAGACCATTCAGACACAAAATAAACCTACCGAGAAAACGGAATGCCCACCAAATCTACCAAGACAGCGATCACTGTCTGGACGCTAAATCTTGGAACGTCTGGTGGTTCTGATGCGCATCACTTGTCCCCGGCCAGATGCCGGTTGCCCTTCACGAACACTAGACGTTCCAGGTTGGCATCTGAGAGGGTAGCCCTTTTTGCACTTAGCACATCTTTTCCCATCGAGAACATGCGCTCGGCGCTTGAAGGGACGCCCGTGCTGAAATTTGCGAACACATGCTGCAACGCCAGCTCCTTCCGGAAGGCCAGGTCACTGAGGCCATCTTCCTTCTTCAAGACAACTTCGAGCCAAATTTTTATAACAGCCTTGGCCACATACTTCTCTATATAGAGAAGAAGTCTGTAGAAGTCTTCATATATAGAGAAGTCTGTGCCTTGGCACTTGACTTGCTTGAACTGTGACTGGTCTCAAGTTTACTAAACCTAACACATTAGAATACGATAAAACTTAAACTTCGCTGCCACATTGATGTCTGTGGGTTAGTTGAAAGATTAACCCGCTCGGAAAACGAAAAGTAACGGAAGAACGGAGGAACGAAGGAACGGGCTAAACTGTAACGGAGGAACGAGCAACCACTGTAACGGAAGTTACTTGGTCCGTTACCCTTTTTAAAATGTAACGAGTCCGTTCCTCCGTTCCTAAGAATTGTAACGGCGTTCCGGAACGGAGGAACGGATCGTGCCCACCTATGGTAAGAGGTGGAAGGTGAGACCGATTGCCCTGGGTCACGATGTCCCTTCACTGCGGATAAAACGCCGCGAATGGCCCTCCGCTCCTCATGGCTGACGTTCTCCGACGTTGTGCCGTCCGGCCGCAGGTATAAAGCTGGCGCCGGAGATTCTGGAGCCGGAGCCGATCGACATCCAGGACATTCTGCACCGCGACGACCGGAAGAAGGCGCGCAGGGACGGCCCGGCCGGCGCCGACGGCATATGGTCCGGAGAGGCCACGCGCAACGCCGGCTTCAACGTGAGTGTGCGGCCGAGAGATGAGTTACGGCTGATCGGGGTGCTGACGGCACGGACCGCGGCGGGGAATGACATAGGAGTGGCACTCTACAGGCTGTGAGGCGTCACAAACTGGCTGGTATGGGGATGAGACGGAGGATCCTAACGTTTTGCGAATGGTGATGATGGGTTCTGGGGCCGATTCGAGATGGCGCACTAGGAAGCTAGTAAGACTAGGCGGCCAAGTGACACTTGAATGTAGTGACACTAAGCGGTATTTTACACCAATCGGCTAGTGGCTCAGCGCGAACCGAAATCGCATAGTGACGCTTGAAATCAAGTGTCACTAGGGCCTTAGTGCGCCAACGCGAATCGGTCCCTGGTTAGTTGTGATGTTGCTTGCCCGTCTTGAACTGGATTCGTAGCTTACAAATAGTTCGTATTTTTATCGTAAGAGCCTGCCCTGGCCCTATCTATCGTGTCGTAGCCCTGGGCCTATCTATCGTATGCGGAATTTCTGACAGTCGTGTTCTGTGTATTTACCGCAGGACGAGACCACGGTCAACATCAACATGGAGGAGGAGGGTGCCGCGGCGCCGGAATCGACGCGCAAGGAGCGGCCCGTCTGGATGATGGAGAGCACCGTCATCACGGAGGACGCGGACGCCACCGAGACGGCCGCCGACACGGAGGCGGCCGGCGCCGGCGGCGACGAGCGCGGCCGCGACGACATCATGTCTGTGCTGCTGCAGCACGAGACGCGCGAGAGCCGCCGGCCCGTGGTGCCCGGCCAGGACAGCAGCGACGAGAGCGAGCCGGAGGTGGTGGCGCCGCCGGCCGCCAAACGTGAGTGGTGCCGGCTGGGGCGGACTGGCGCACGGCTTACGGCTATCGGCCGGCTGCTCCTGGTGGCGAATTATCGCTGAAAACCTATAGTTCGTTTTTTTTTCTAAGTTCGACCCTCACTGTAAACGTCTCTTTGAAAAGAGCACGAGAATTGCTAACCGAAATACTGAGAAAAAATGAATGGCGCACAATGATCTCACAGGCGATCAACTTTTACCAAAATTATTTCTACCTCGCTCGGCGCTCCTATTTTCCAGCCTCTCAGTTCGTATTTGCCTATAGTTACAACTCCTAAGGTATGGACGATTTGTCAAGAATTATAACTGAATTGATAAAACCTCACACGACCTTTTATATAACAATACATCATCAGTGTTCAAAACTTATTTTGAAAATATTTTCATGTCTCTAATACAATGTGCGCTAACCAGTTTTCTCAGTAATTCAGCTAGTAATTCTCGTGCTGTGTTCAAAAAGATGTTAACAGTGAGGATCGAGCTAAAAAAAAAACGAGCTATAATAACGTCACCTGATTTTTGCGCACGACTTTCTAACTATTTTCTCGTTATCATCGTTAACTGATAAATGTCGATAGTTTTTATATGATACATTTTTGTTTTCTCTTTTGAAACTGCGGCCTATTCCATTCCACTAACTGACATTGTGCGTCAAGGATAGTGCGTCGCAAAATCATGTGTCTGACCTTCCTCCCGTCCCCCGCGCAGCTGTTGCCGAGGCGAGCGACGTGGAGGAGTTCATGGACTCGGACGACGACGACACGTCGCCCACCGTCCAGGTCGGCGCCGAGCGCATCGCCATCAGTGACGTCACCGATGACGTCATCGCGCGGATGACGGCCGACGAGAAGGAGGCCTACATCTTGGCCTACCAGGACTACTACTCGCACATCCACGAGTAACGTGCCGGTGTTAGTGTACTGTGTCTCATCAACTGTGTCATTGCTATGAGTGTTTCATGTTGGTCATATCGTCGACATAACCCATCATGTTTCATTGAAGAGAGTTGGGCTCGGTAGGTCAGCCGTCAGACCCAAGCAGGGCGCCTGGGACTGTCTTGGACGTTCGAGTCGCCAGCTTTGGACGTACAAACACCGAGGGAGCTGGGCTAAGGCTGGCAGGGTCGCTTCCCGCTATTGTGTGTCAGGGATCCAAAAGTGCATCATCAAAAGCATGTGGTGCGTATAGCCTTGTGATCTATTAGTAGGGCGGTGTGCGTTGGCTAGCCGTGCGGTTGGTCCTGGTGCGGCGAGTCGAGCTATCCGGTACCGGTAGGCTAGTGCGGCGAGCCAAGCTGTGTGGTTGCTCGGCCTATCGATGGAGAGCGACCACATTGGCTGATGGTCCGGCCGGCTGGCCTGGCGTGGTCAGTCGGGAATCGGCGCTGCTATTGGCTGCGATCTTTGCTGATCGACCTACTCCTTGGTAGGCGCTGGTGTTATATTAGCACACAGGACCACCGTGCGGTGTATTGTGTACCACTACTATGAACTCGAACTGTGAGCTGGGCGCCAATCCCAAGCGATTCACCATTGTCAAAGGCTGTCGAGAGAGACCGTTCTATGTCGAGTTGTTCTACATACCCTGGTCGAGACGTTGCAAAGGCTACCAGTTAATGCGCCGCAAGTGTCAGCGCAGTCTATAGCCTTGAGCGCAGTGTCATGTAGGACTAGAATGGAATCGAGTGTAATACATGCGGTGTATTAATTTGTTGTTTGCCGATAATCGATATGTTGTTTGGTCTATTCGCGGACAAATGTATCTATCCACAGCTCAAGGCTTGAAGGGTGATCGCACTTGGATGGTTACTTTCATCCCTATCCATAATCGCAAAAAGGAAAATGTTTGTACGCTGTGTCGAAGCAGCGGTATGGTATTTGGCCTCATCGCGCAGTCCTTAGCTTACCATATCTCGCGCTGACGTCATAAATATGGCAGCTTGGTATAGATGACACCAAGATGATACCACATTATTCGTCCGTTCCCGAAATAGCTAAACCTTGATTGGGCTGTGAAAAACGTGTTTGTGTTTCGTCGGCGTGTTTTCCCATTTATTTATTGATATTGATGTTTGACTTATGGTTAAGACCTAAAAAAAGATAAAACATAAGCCTACAAGCACAGTTTCGTTTTTTGGTAACTTGAACTGGTACCAGGCCTGCCAGTCTGGATCCCTAAAAAGCAGTGTGCCAAAATTGAGTTTTGTCTTGGGTGTCAGAGGGGAAAATTACCCACCAAAAAGAGGGGAGAGAGTGGAAAACTGCTGATTCAATGAGGCCCAAAAAGGGTGAGAAACGACAAAAAGCATGCATTTTATTATAGGGTGTAGAATGTTTGATGCTAACTGGGCATCCACACCACTGCTCTTTCTATAGGTAAAAAATCTAGTTTTTTGTTGAGAGTGGAAAAATGTTCTTAAAAATTAGTGGAGGGAGGGGAAAATGAATTTCATTTGGATGTTGTTTCCCACCCAAATCGACAAATTTTGGGACATTGCTAAAAAGGGTGAGGAATCAGACTTCACATTTTGTCAAGTTCCCTATCCCCGCGTTCGATGTCTCTCGGACGATGAAGATTCTACGTCATCCGGCCAATCACGTTCCATAACCACAGCCAAGTCCCCGCTGACCTTGGGTGGGATTGGCTGGGCAACGTAGAATCTATATGATATGCCCTGCGGCCTGCGTAGAATCTTAATCATCCGTGCCCTGAGTTGTCCATACTTATACCAATGTGAAATGAGCATGATTTGAGCTATCTCTGAACCTGTCTCCATGTTGTACATTTTGCAGGTGCTGTCGTCATCATGTCGCTGGGCAGGGTGAGAGTGCTGGAGGCACTGTGGCGGCTCCCAGCCACTCGTCTCTCGGCCAGCACTGTGTGCCCCACAGTGTGCCGGCCACTGAGTAGCGCTGGAGCCCGGTCTGGTCCGACCAGCCCTGATCCACAGGAGCAGGCTGGCCAGGTGCAGCAGAGGCCTGCCAAGAACACCAGCAAGGCCATGATGGCGTACCTGGAGCGGGCCACCAAACATGGTGAGTTGCTCTGGACAGGCCAGCGAAGACGTGTCTTATGTAGGTACGTGTGTTGATACTTGAGCTACCCTGGATCTGCCATGAAACATGTGAACCTGGTGATGGTCCAGTGGGACTTTTTACTGAATCATTAATCATGGCATCATTTTAATTTTTTACAGAGGAGTTCATGCGCAAGCAGGTGCATGAATTTGAAATAGGAAAGCGCCATCTGGCCAACATGATGGGTGAGGATCCAGAGCACTTCACGCAGGAGGATGTAGATGTGAGTAATGGACACCTTTCCTCACTTCAACTTGCATGGAACTTTAGAATGGCACCGGAAAAATGATAGCTTGATAGGTCTCAACGGAATTGTGCCCGAGGGTGCAAAAGTTGGTCACTTGTGAGTGTGACAGTAACGTAACTGACATATTTTAGTCAGGACTCAAATAATGAGCTTACTCCAGTTTTATCGAGATTGGTCTTGAGCTGCCTTACGTTTGGGAAGGGACGAGATGAGGGGGCGGGGCGGGGAGCTCGTTTCAGTCATTTATCGCCCATCACCACACCCGCATTGACATTCCTTGGGAACCGATACCGACGACGCGTGGAATTTGGAACTGCATCTGTGAAATAGCATCTTCATGCCATGGTCACTGATATATTGCGCCTCCCTTGCCTAGCTGACAAGTATTTTGTTTCAGCGCGCTATTGAGTACCTGTTTCCGACCGGTATTTTCGACAAGAAGGCGCGGCCCAAGATGCGGCACCCCACCGAGGTGTTTCCGCAGCAGAAGGCGGCGCAGTTCGACGCCACCGGCAGGCCCTTCCATACGCTGTTCTACACGCTCAAACCCAACTTCTACATGACACTCTACGTGAGTTGACTGATCGTCGTCACAGCGAACGGGGATTTCAGTGATTTGCTGTTCCAGTCTGAATTTTGAGGAAATCTTTATAAATGTTAAGTGTCGCATCGCGCTTCGGTACTACTGGAAGCAACTGCCGATTTGGTAGTCGTTCTGCTTGGGAAGAACTGCAACGGACAGGGGATAAAAGCGATAAAAGTGACGTGATTTGGAATACTGTGTCGTTGGCTCGCAGGAGCTGGTGGAAAAGATGAACCAGCTCGATCGGCTTCAGGCCAAGAACGACGCTCTCGGCAAACTGCCAGATACCACGCAGAAACTGTGAGTTCCCTTAGTGGCATTTGGTGTCTCTTGGGCTATATGGCTGCTGCTTACTCCTATTGCCGATTGCATACTGGTGTCAATACAAAGTGGGCGAGCTAAAGTCATTATTAATTGTATGATTAGTCCTTGACTGTCATTTTCATTAAAAACAAGATGACTATTGAGCATTTAAAATGCCATGAACGTTTCCCTCGACGTTTTTTTTTTTTGTAATGTTTGTTCTTGTATTATTACAGCTCGCTTCTAGGAAGTGAGTGGCTCGACATTGAAGAGCTCGGCAAGATGCTTGTGGAAACCCTCAAAGAACCTCAGGTGAGCGACGCTACGGTTTACGGTTGAAGTTACGCTTTGATTATTGAGTCACCTGCTTTTAATCGTATTCGGCTAATGACCTACGATCAGGGGTTTTCCTGAGATAATACGATAATTTCGTGTGCTGATGATTTTAGGAACTGCCTATTCGCCGCAGTTTTTCACCAAACCGTCTTCTCACACTGGCCCCTGACACTGACCGTGTTTGTGTGTCTGCATGTGCGGTGTGCAGTACCAGGAGTTTGTACGCGCCATGAACCGACTGGTGGAACATCCGCTGGCCTACCACCACAAGGACTTCATCTTCAAGTACCGCAAGATGCTGCGCGTCTCCAACGAGACAGATACCGTGCCGGAGGTGGGTGAGACCGCCGCGGTGCCGGACTGCACAACTCGGCCCACGACTGTTGCTGCTGCTGTGTTGCAGACGGGCTCGGCTACGTGCGCCTTTGACTCCCCAGATCGCTCGTGCGATTCCGCAGAAATGCGTACGAGTGTTGCGCTTTTTAGCTCATTTTAGGTGACAGTCACTGTCTCACTTACTGTAGTCAGTAATTACTCTCGTTTAATGTAGGTACAGTTTTCTATCAGATGTGTGATTTTTTAACAGGGCCGAGTATCCACATGTAATGGCTACCGCAATGAATCGGTCCGTCCCCAGCTGTCGTGTGACTGTTCTGACCGTCCCCAGCTGCTGTTCGACTCGGCCGGCCGGCCCTACATGGAGGCCACCGGTTACCGGAAGCGGGCGGTGGCGCGCGCGGTGGTGCACGGCCGCGGCTCGGGCCGGGTCACCGTCAACGGCCTGCCGCTGGTGCACTACTTCCACCGCGACGGCGGACGCTCCGGCAACCAGGACGTGGCGCAGGTCAGTCCGGCAGGGAGAACCAGATGAGTGTCAGGCTAGAACTTGAAGGGTATGGACGAGGTGTCAGATCAGAGGCAGGGTGAGCGGGAGGCAGGTGATGGGTCAAGTCGCGATCGTTGTTCGGTGGAGGCCTTCAGTACAGTCCACGTGTCGCCTCTGTACCGATGATGCTCTCTCGACCTATCCACATCACCGCCATGTCCTGTGAGTGTGCTCGGAGGGTGCTGCTTCCCATGTCGCCGTCTCTAAGCCACCCCCTCCCCCCCAGGTGATGTACCCGCTCCAGGTGGCCGGTGTGCTGGACTCTGTAGACGTGGAGGCCACGGTCCAGTATGACGGGCCCACGCAGCGCTACCACGGCAAGAGGCGGCGCGGACACAGGAAACGCACCAGGTACGTCCCATCCCAGCTGCACCGTACGAGGGGGTATCGAAAAGTTCTGATCATCACCATGAATTAGATGTGATAGAAATTTGATTTTTTTACATGATGTTCATTACTCCTTTACAAGTCACCACACACGACCGCAAACTTATTGCATCTTTTCTTCAGCTGCCTCAGGCGGTCATTGTAGGACCTTCGCACTGTCCCGTAAATCACTGCTCCACCTCATCAATGACGTCATTTCTGTCCTTAAAACACCGGCCATTGTGTGGATTCTTTATCTCCCGTAACAATCAAGAGTCAGTTAATACCTGGTCAGGTGCATTTGTTAGATGCGGTAGGATTTAATGTCCATATCATGTTGTTTCTTCAATCGCAGCTCAAGACGAATGGGCGGGGGCGCTGTCGGTGCGGATAAAACATCTTTCTTGGGCTTTTTGCGGCGATTCTGCTTGAGGCCATCTCGCAACTTCTTCAAAAGTGTGCAGTAGTGCTTGCTTATCATTATCCGACCATCATCAAGACAGTCGGTAATGACTATCCTACGCCAGATCCAGAACACTGGTAGCATTGACCTTCCATATCGGCTTCTGCATCTTCGCCTTTTAAGAAGGACAGAGGTGCCGTGCTTAAACTTCTTGATGATCTTTTTGTCTCTGGATCATACACATAGACCCAGCATTCGTCACAAGTCATCAAATGATCGAAGATGTCTTCAATTTCCTAAAAAAGGCCTAGTTTTCATTTCGAAAGGCCAAGACGCATTTTTCTCTTGAACAAAGTAGACACACGAACTTCTAAGCGGGCTGACTCCTTTATCGTCTGTAGTTCTTCGCTGATAATATTTTCAGGCACTGCCAGCATTGAAACCTTTCTGTTGCACAATCATCTGAAAGGTCACACGACGATCTGTAAGGATGAGGTCCTCCATCTCCTTCACAGTCACCATCTTGTCAGTCATTGGTAGTCACTCACTTCTTGACTCCCCTGCAAGGGCCATGCAGCCAAGTTGAAAATTATTTCTTCATTTTCGGTAAGTGCATGAGATGGGCTTTCCTCGCCATAAACTAATTTCACGTTCTTGATGCATTTTCTCAGTGTGATACCGTTTCAAATGCTTTAGTTGAATGACGGTTCGGTCCTCAATGGGCCCAATACTCATCTTTTTTACTTCTAAGTCTCTCCTACATAAGATAAAACCACTTCTCATGATTCTCTTTATGGGAGCATTGTTCTTAAGAACCAAATATAATACCCACAAAAAATCATCAAAATCGGTCTACATTTTCTATGTGATGATCAGAACTTTTCGATACCCCGTAGTCACCACTCAGACGGAGGCCATGGTCTCGTCTCCGTCGCTCCATATGAGCTGACTTTCCCAGCGTTTTGTGAATCGCGGCTGGCTGCACTATGTGCTCGGCACCGCTCGTACGGCGCACGCCATCTCCCCTTGAGCTCTGCGTCGCTTCTCTATGCCCTAAGCACTAAGCAGTGTGCCCGGGTATGGAGTGCCGTTCCAGTGTTGACCGCCCCTCCTGGCCGCCCCAGTTTCGTGCCGGAGCCGTGGAAGCGGCCGCACCCGGTGCAGGCTCCCAGCTCTCAGGCCGGCGCCGTCCGGCACGCTGTCTCGCTGGCGCTGCGCAGCTTCGTCGACAAGGAGATGCAGGAGACGATGCGGCTAGGTAAGGAACCGGTCGCAATAGTAGACTGCCCCTGGATATACCGGGCTTCTAAAAAAAAGTTGGATGGATTTCTTTTGCGAATAGAGGACCCCTAACAACATTTAAGCAAAATCAATGCACGTAGAAAAACGGAGAATTTTTCGTATATTTATATGACACCATGATTTGAGCTTAAAAAATGAAGCTGTGGTCTTAGGAAGTAAAAGCAAAACTCTTGATATTATGCTTTCCCTGACTAAGTCGGTCGGTTCGACACCACGGAAGATCCGCAAACACTTTAGGGCAAAGAGAGCAACATCTTGAAACAAAATTTTCCACATTATTGACAAGTTGCTGACTTGAGGAAGTGTTAACAATAGGTTCACGCAATTCAAGGAACACAGCGGCGGCCATAAACCCAATCAAAGGCTCACGGCGAACACCACTCGTGTGAGAGATGCGCTACTCAGGCTGTCAATGGTCAGCGATATCGGGTGGCTCTGGCGACGTTTTGGAGGGTTCTGCAATTGCAGGATGAGCAGAGATCCGGAAACGCTTAAGATCCAATGGTTCCAGCAAGACGGTGCCACGCCAATACCGCAAAAGAAAACCGGGAGGGGCTGTGGGAGCGCTTCGGGCAGCGCGTGATCTCGAGGTTCGGGACACGCCCTTGGTCGGCGAATTCTCCGAACGTAACCCCACCGGACTTTTTCCTATAGGACCACCTCAAGTCCCAGGTGTACCGAAACCACCCAAAAAGTTCCGAAGATCATAAGGATGCAGTGAAGTCAGCGGTGTGCCGTCTGCAGCTTTCCGTGGGTCGTGCTGCAGCAGAGGTCGCGCTGCGCCGGGCGAAACTGTGCATCGAGCATAAAGGGAATCATCTCGAACATAACCTCGGCGCGGCTCAGAAAGGCGACTGCCGAGGATCGAAATCCACTCAAACGAAATGTCTTTGATGAGGCTTTTAGGTGATACCCAATTATGTTTTGTTACACTGATACACCCTTCAATACGTTAGTTATAAAATCGTCTAACTTTTTTGAGAAGCCCGGTAGGACACCTTTCGGCTGAGTGGGATGCTGGGCGCGTCCAATAGGCATTTACCGTGGAGCTGGGAAGGTATCTCTGATGCATTAGGAAATAATGCAGCCAACTAATGTAAGCCGTCCTTGTCATACAAGACATGTTGGTATTCAGTGAGTTAATGGCGCCGCGACGATAACGCAGTAGACCTTTCGGGCAAGAGGCCGCACTATGGATAAGACAGCCTTGTAGTCAGCAGCAGCTATAACCATCCTGCCGTGAAAAGGAAAAGAAGCGTAACTCGCTTTTGACGATTTTTCAGGAGAGCGATTTTTCTGTTTTACCTTGTATTATCGTCGGTTCTTAAACAATCAAAGAAAACTTGGTGTCAAACTGTTCGCAATACTGCACTGAACCTAACAGTGTAAATATTTTTTACGTGGCATATAAGATATTGCTAGAAAATGGTGTAAGGTGTTTTTGCTTTTCACTCGATGCTCAAATTGCAGCGAGGCATGTAGGGAAGAAAAGCGTAACTACATTCACTCCAGTCCGGCAACCGTATGTGCAGCGCGCGGCTCCATAGCGAAATGCAAAAGAAGCGTAACTACGTAGTTACGCTTCTTTTGCTTGCGAGATCTTATGGTATCGGCGAATATGCGGTGTTTCAAATACGCCAGGACGAAAACGTCTTTTCTCCATTTCGGATGCCTAGATGCCTTTCGAAATAGCTCACGACTTTTCATGCTAAGACTTCATGCTTCATGCTTAGCAATCGCGGCCGTCAGGTCGCACCCTTCGGTGCCGGCAGGTCGGACAGGCTGGACGGCCGTGGGGTCGCCTATACCGGTGCTAGCAGGCCGGACGGCCGTGGGGTCGCCCCTGTCGGTGCTGGCAAGTAGGGCAGGTCGAGCGGCCTCCTCCTTCGGTGCTGGCAGATCGGGCAAGCTGGGCGGCCGTATGGTCAGCTCTGCCGGTGCTGGCGGGTCGGGCGGCCGTGGGGTGGCCTCCGCCGGTGCTGCAAGGCCAAGTGGCCGTGGGGTCGCCTCCTTCGGTGCTGGCAGGTCAGGCTTCCTTGGGGTTGCCCCTGTCGGTGCTGGGAGGTCGGGCAGGCCGGGCGGCCACGTTGTCGGCTGTCGCCCATGTTGGTGCTGGGAGGTCGGGAAGCCTAGCGGCCTTTGGGTCGCCTCTTCTGGTTCTGGCAGGTCGGGCAAGCCGGGCGGTCGTGGGGGTCACCTCTGCCGGTGCTGGCGGGTCGGGTGGCCGTGGGGTCGCTTTGTTTTGTGCTGGCAGGCCGGGCGGCCATGTTTTCGTCCCTGTCAGTTCTGACAGTCCGCGCAGTCGCGGGGTTTCATCTGTCTGTGCTGGCAGGCCGAACAGGCCGGACGGCCTTGGGGTAGCCTCTGCTGTTGCTGGCAGGCCGGGCAGCCGTGGGGTCTCGCCTCTGCCGGTGCCGGCAGGTCGGGCAGCCGTGGGGTCGTCTCTGCCGGTACTGGCAGGTCGGGCAGGCCGGGCGGCCACGTTGTCGTCTCTGCCGGTGCTGGCAGGCCTGGCGGCCTTGGGGTAGCCTCTGCCGTTGCTGGCAGGCCGGGCAGCCGTGGGGTCGCCTCTGCCGGTGCTGGCAGGTCGGGCAATTCGGGCGGCCGTGGGGTCGCCTCCGCCGGTGCCACAAGGCCAAGTGGCCGTGGGGTCGCCTCCTTGGGTGCTGGCAGGTCAGGCTTCCTTGGGGTTGCCCCTGTCGGTGCTGGGAGGTCGGGCAGGCCGGGCGGCCACGTTGTCGGCTGTCGCCCATGTTGGTGCTGGGAGGTCGGGAAGCCTGGCGGCCTTTGGGTCGCCTCTTCTGGTGCTGGCAGGTCGGGCGGCCGTGGGGTCACCTCTGCCGATGCTGGCGGGTCAGGCGGCCGTGGGGTCGTCTTTGCCGGTTCTGGCAGGCCGGGAGGGCGTGGGCTCAACTCTGCCGGTGCTGGCAGGTCGGGCGGCCGTGGGGTCGCCTCATTTCGTGCTGGCAGGCCGGGTGGACACGCTTTCCCCTCTATCAGTTCTGACAGTCCGAGCGGCCGCGGGTTTTCATCTGTCTGTGCTGGCAGGCCGGGCGGCCGTGGTGCCGTTGGGTCGCCTATGCCGGTGCTGGCAGGTCGGGCGTCCTTGGGGTCGCCCCTGTTGGTGCTGGGAGGTCGGGCAAGCCGGGCGGCCGTATGGTCAGCTCTGCCGGTGCTGGCGGGTCGGGCGGCCGTCGGGTCGCCTCCACCGGTGCTGGCAGGCCGGGCAGGCCGGGCGGCCACGTTGTCGCCTCTGCCGGTGCTGGCAGGCCTGGCGGCCTTGGGGTAGCCTCTGCCGTTGCTGGCAGGCCGGGCAGCCGTGGGGTCGCCTCTGCCGGTGCTGGCAGATCGGGCAAGCTGGGCGGCCGTATGGTCAGCTCTGCCGGTGCTGGCGGGTCGGGCGGCCGTGGGGTCGCCTCCGCCGGTGCTGCAAGGCCAAGTGGCCGTGGGGTCGCCTCCTTCGGTGCTGGCAGGTCAGGCTTCCTTGGGGTTGCCCCTGTCGGTGCTGGGAGGTCGGGCAGGCCGGGCGGCCACGTTGTCGGCTGTCGCCCATGTTGGTGCTGGGAGGTCGAGAAGCCTAGCGGCCTTTGGGTCGCCTCTTCTGGTTCTGGCAGGTCGGGCAAGCCGGGCGGTCGTGGGGGTCACCTCTGTCGGTGCTGGCGGGTCGGGTGGCCGTGGGGTCGCTTTGTTTTGTGCTGGCAGGCCGGGCGGCCATGTTTTCGTCCCTGTCAGTTCTGACAGTCCGCGCAGTCGCGGGGTTTCATCTGTCTGTGCTGGCAGACCGAACAGGCCGGACGGCCTTGGGGTAGCCTCTGCTGTTGCTGGCAGGCCGGGCAGCCGTGGGGTCGCCTCTGCCGGTGCTGGCAGGCCGGGCAGCCGTGGGGTCGCCTCTGCCGGTGCTGGCAGGTCGGGCAGGCCGGGCGGCCACGTTGTCGCCTCTGCCGGTGCTGGCAGGCCTGGCGGCCTTGGGGTAGCCTCTGCCGTTGCTGGCAGGCCGGCCAGCCGTGGGGTCGCCTCCGCCGGTGCTGCAAGGCCAAGTGGCCGTGGGGTCGCCTCCTTGGGTGCTGGCAGGTCGGGCTTCCTTGGGGTTGCCCCTGTCGGTGCTGGGAGGTCGGGAAGCCTGGCGGCCTTTGGGTCGCCTCTTCTGGTGCTGGCAGGTCGGGCGGCCGTGGGGTCACCTCTGCCGATGCTGGCGGGTCTGGCGGCCGTGGGGTCGTCTTTGCCGGTGCTGGCAGGCCGGGAGGGCGTGGGCTCAACTCTGCCGGTGCTGGCAGGTCGGGCGGCCGTGTGGTCGCCTCATTTCGTGCTGGCAGGCCGGGTGGCCACGTTTTCCCCTCTGTCAGTTCTGACAGTCCGAGCGGCCGCGGGTTTTCATCTGTCTGTACTGGCAGGCCGGGCGGCCGTGGTGCCGTTGGGTCGCCTATGCCGGTGCTGGCAGGCCGGGCGGCCGTGGTGCCGTTGGGTCGCCTATGCCGGTGCTGGCAGGTCGGGCGTCCTTGGGGTCGCCCCTGTTGGTGCTGGGAGGTCGGGCAAGCCGGGCGGCCGTATGGTCAGCTCTGCCGGTGCTGGCGGGTCGGGCGGCCGTCGGGTCGCCTCCACCGGTGCTGACAGGCCGGGCAGGCCGGGCGGCCACGTTGTCGCCTCTGCCGTTGCTGGCAGGCCGGGCAGCCGTGGGGTCGCCTCTGCCGGTGCTGGCAGGTCGGGCAAGCCGGGCGGCCGTGGGGTCACCTCTGTCGGTGCTGGCGGGTCGGGCAAGCCGGGCGGCCGTGGGGTCACCTCTGTCGGTGCTGGCGGGTCGGGCAAGCCGGGCGGCCGTGGGGTCACCTCTGCCGGTGCTGCAAGACCAAGCGGCCGTGGGGTCGCTTTGTTTCGTGCTGGCAGACCGGGCGGCCATGTTTTCGTCCCTGTCAGTTCTGACAGTCCGCGCAGTCGCGGGGTTTCATCTGTCTGTGCTGGCAGGCCGAACAGGCCGGACGGCCTTGGGGTAGCCTCTGCTGTTGCTGGCAGGCCGGGCAGCCGTGGGGTCTCGCCTCTGCCGGTGCCGGCAGGTCGGGCAGGTCGGGCGGCCACGTTGTCGCCTCTGCCGGTGCTGGCAGGCCGGGCAGCCGTGGGGTCGCCTCTGCCGGTGCTGGCAGGCCGGGCGGCCAGGTTGTCGCCTCTGCCGGTGCTGGCAGGCCGGACAGCCGTGGGGTCGCCTCTGCCGGTGCTGGCAGGTCGGGCAAGCCGGGCGGCCGTGGGGTCACCTCTGTCGGTGCTGGCGGGTCGGGCAAGCCGGGCGGCCGTGGGGTCACCTCTGTCGGTGCTGGCGGGTCGGGCAAGCCGGGCGGCCGTGGGGTCACCTCTGCCGGTGCTGCAAGACCAAGCGGCCGTGGGGTCGCTTTGTTTCGTGCTGGCAGACCGGGCGGCCATGTTTTCGTCCCTGTCAGTTCTGACAGTCCGCGCAGTCGCGGGGTTTCATCTGTCTGTGCTGGCAGGCCGAACAGGCCGGACGGCCTTGGGGTACCCTCTGCTGTTGCTGGCAGTTCGGGCAGCCGTGGGGTCTCGCCTCTGCCGGTGCCGGCAGGTCGGGCAGGCCGGGCGGCCACGTTGTCGCCTCTGCCGGTGCTGGCAGGCCTGGCGGCCTTGGGGTAGCCTCTGCCGTTGCTGGCAGGCCGGGCAGGCCGGGCAGCCGTGGGGTCGCCTCTGTCGGTGCTGGCGGGTCGGGCAAGCCGGGCGGCCGTGGGGTCACCTCTGCCGGTGCTGCAAGGCCAAGCGGCCTTGGGGTCGCCTCCTTCGGTGCTGGCAGGTCAGGCTCCCTTGGGGTCGTCCCTGTCGGTGCTGGGAGGTCGGGCAGGCCGGGCGGCAACGTTGTCGGCTGTCGCCCCCGTTGGTGCTGGGAGGTCGGGAAGCCTGGCGGCCTTTGTATCGCCTCTTCTGGTGCTGGCAGGTCGGGCAAGCCGGACGGCCGTGGGGTCACCTCTGCCGATGCTGGCGGGTCAGGCGGCCGTGGGGTCGTCTTTGCCGGTGCTGGCAGGCCGGGCGGTCGTGGGGCCGTTGGGTCGCCTATGCCGGTGCTGGCAGGTCGGGCGGCCTTGGGGTCGCCAATGTCGGTGCTGGCAGGTCAGGAGGCCTTGGGGTCTCGCCCCTGTCGGTGCTGGCAGGTCAGGAGGCCTTAAGGTCTCGCCCCTGTCGGTGCTGGCAGGTCAGGCCTGGGGGGGGGGGGCCCTGTCGGGGCTGGCAGACCGGGCAAGCCGGGCGGCCATATGGTCAGCTCTGCCGGTGCTGGCTGGCCGGGCGGCCATGTGGGGTTGGGTCGCCTCTCTTAATGCTGGGATGTCGAAATGCAGGTGGGAAGATCCCGCCCCTGATCGTCCTATTTCACCAGAACTCGCTCGACTCTACTCCTGATTTCACATTTTCCTTTAGCTGCACGTGGACCTTTGTTCCGTTTTTTTTTATCGCTTCAGTTCTAAACCTCTTCAGAGACCAAGTCTGCTCCTAAACCGCAATTTGCACACGCTTCTGATAAGAGTTCACAGCGAGCATGCACCACAATAAATAAAGTAAACTATTTGATATCGCTCGTGTGGCCTTGGTCCAGGGTATGGCATGGCACCCCATACCTATACCTACTATTTCAAGTTGGTGGTTTTGAACTTTGGTTGCTTTTATCTTACAGTTTTCCTCCATTCAAACGCCCGGATACCTACTAGAAGATATTGGTGAAACATAGAAAGGCGGCAAACGCAAGCAAGAAGGGCTTAATATATTTTTAATGCAAATTTTCCTGGCAAAATTAAACTTCTACCAAGTGTTATGCACTCACCTGAAAGGCAAAAAAGCGCAAGTGCGTAAAAGTCAGCGCGGTGATAAGCAAGAAAAGCGCAACTACGTAGTTGCGCTTTTCTTGCCTATCACATCGTCCTGACCGCTGCAGATACGCTTTTTTAATAGCTGCGTTTGTAGTTACGCTTTTTTTGCTTGCGGTCAGGGAGGATGAAAAACATTTACGCTTTTCTCGAAAAAGAAAATTTGATATAACTCGAAAAATAATACGAATTTCGAAAAACGGTTTTGCAGAAAGATGGAGATTGCTATTCTCTATCTAATGGTATCAAAATCTCAAAATCGAAAAAATGCGAGTTACGCTTTTCTTGGTTGTCACGGCAGCATCATCCGTACCTGATGAAAAGGCTTCCCTGACCAGTCATTAGCCGCGTTTGTATCTCTCTTAGCTGTATTTGTACCTTTTTACACGGTGTTCCTGTTTTCAGCCGGACTGCTAACGCGGGACGTCAGGGAGCGAGAGCGCTACAAGCCGGGCAAGAAGGGCTCGCGAAAGGGACGCACCTGGAAGAAGCGATAGTGGTGGCATCTGTCGGTGGGTGCGGGAACTAGGCGCCGTCGGTTGTGTGCAGACTGGAGAGAATGTGTTGTATTTGTATGGAGTATTCTGCTGGAAGTGATGGGTGAACGTGTTGACGATGTGTTATATCTTGTGTTGATTGATAGGGAGACTGTTATTGAGGGATGTGGAAACCCCATGGTTACTCGCCTGAATGGTCATACTGTGCGTCTGAAATACACGAGAACGCGTGAAACTAGTGGTTCGTGAAGCTCGCGGCGAATATTCCAGATGAACTTAAGATACACGAGAACACTGCCGTGCAAAGCAAAAAACGCGTATGTCAAGGAAATTCAATTTTCAAAGTTTTGCAGAAGATAGCATTTTGCGTTTAGGTGCGATGTGCAAATTGTATGACACAATACCCGATGAAAGTTATACCACTGGAAACGAAATTGAATAAGCTTTTTAACTGTATAATTAAATAAGACATTAGAAATTAGATATTTGCTAAATAAGGGGCTACTTTCATACGTTCTCCGTTTCTGTGCTTCGGCAGGAGGCTAGACAAAGCAAAAACCACGTATGTCGTAAAAAACACGTATGTCAACGCGAGTTTGCGTTCCATTGATACGGGGAGCTCGCCAAAACAACGTATGTGATACATACGTGCTTTGCAGTGCACGTGGGACTGCCAAAATGCAAAACAAGAACAGCGTATGTCGGGACTTACGCCTTTTTTCCTTTGCTCTAGGCTGGAAGTTGGCGATGACATGCAACAAATTTGACATACGTAATGCTTTATTGGATGAGAGAAACGACGACTCGATAATAACATATAAACAAGATCCAGGACTACAGAGTCGGAGTCAGAGTCGTTCAGAGTCAACACTTCCGACCGACGATGGAGTCTGAGTCGTAGTAACCGGAAATTCATCGACTCCGCAGACGTGCCAGAACTGCGGAGTCGGAGTCAATCGGAGTCGATATTTTTCAAGAGTCGGAGTCAGAGTCAAACCGGAGTCGGAGTCATTGTTAATCCATTGATTCCGCAGCCTTGTATGAGACCAATGTCATTAATGACCAGTGGTTGTCTAATCGATCTGAATCGTAAATAATTGTCCTATTCCTGCATATGAAGATTTTATAAGTATGTAATTTAATTACGCATTGGCGAACGGTTGCTGGCATTGATGTGCTTCAAGCTGGAAGATGGATACGGGCACTAGCTTTGTGATCACCAAGTAGCGAGCTTACCCACAGACCACCTTCCGATCAGCGTGCCCCGGCTCCAACAGCAAGCCGTGATCACGGCTGTCAGCGCCGCTGACTGATCAAAGCCGAACTTGAGCTGTAACTAGACGGTATTCTAGAACGATCCAGCAGCAGCTGTACTGCAGCGGAGTGCGGACCAATGCATGGCGAGAGCAGGCGATGCAACACATTCTTTGCGAACCGAAACTGCAAGATCCAATACTCATCGGAAGTGGCCCAGCCGCGGCCCGGGGTTATCCGTGGGTGACCCACGATGGAAAGACCTAAGGCTTCGGGCGAAGAAATGCGCAGCTCGTTTGCTGTATGGTAACGGCACTAACTATTCCAGCGACAGCGAGCGGGAAGTATGGAACGCAAATGCTGAGGCAATGAACCCGATGAAACCAAGCCGACATGCTGTCACATGCGTGGGGTCTAAATTAGGTCCAGCAGGAACACCTCCGATGGTGATGGTCGTGATCCAGCGACTTGTGTCGTCACACAGACACAACCTTCCACCGTGAGGCAGCGCGTGGACACTGGTCTCATCAGCGAACATCCGTCCCGAAATCCAGCCTCTTTTACCGAACCACTGCTTTATCGGACGAGCCTCGTTATATCTACCAGTTACCACCTCACCTGATGTGGTCAATGACAACGACCTGTCGGCGGCACCGCAGACGCACGCAGGCGGCGCTTAAGCACCCTTGGAGACTGTGGATGTCAATACGTACTTACCTATGCTGACTGCAGTAAAGGTGCAGTGGTCACAGCGAAATTCCAGCGGTTCCCGAGACACGCCCCAGGTTGACTTCGGCAAGTTCGTGGTGGTGAGACTTCGGCAAGTTCGTGGTGGTGATCGACCCATTGGTTGCGGTGAAGCTACGTCCCAAAGCGTTGAGGGCTGAGGCGGTATGGGGACCCGGCACTCGACGTTCTGATTCCGCTGGCATGGCACAGCGCCAGCTGTATATGTACAGCTCTCTGAGCATTTGGTTGGTCAACCGAGGTGTGCTTCAGCACGTGCAGATTCTGACGAATATATCGGAAAACGCGACAACTCGTCAACCGTCGCCGCTCAGCTTGTTCATGGCAACCGTGCACTTTTAGCTCGGGCATGTAAAATAAAGACACAATCGTCCGAAATATTCCATGGTCTCCCAGTCCAGGGCTGCGGAATCGGAGTCGACAGCTGTGACCGGATTCGGAGTTAGAGTCGATTCTGGATACCGGAGCCGGGATCGGAGTCAACGAAAATCCGTCGACTCCGCAGCCCTGCCAGATTTCCGGAGTCTGAGTCCGAGTTGGTTTTTGAAAGCCGAACTCGGAGTCTGAGTAAAAGTACATCGACTCCGCAGCCGGCATGTCCGTCTGTTCAACTCGACTCAGTTATGAAAACAAATTTTTACATGAATGGGACAATTATCTTTAACGTATGTCCTGCGATATAACAAAAGGCAAATGAAGAAAACACGTAAGTCAAACATACGTGAGATTTCGTTGCTTATTAACCGTCCAAGTGCCGCAAAAAAGCACGTATGTTTGACATACCTTGATTTACTTTGCAATGTTGCGGAACAGCCGTAAAATAATTGGTCCGTAAAACGCGTATGTGACATACGTGTTTTTTCCTTTGCATTAGGCAAGGGAAGTAAAAAAGTGTCTTACCACTAAAACGCGTAACTCTCGACATACGTGCTTTTCTACGGTCTTTTCGCAAGTGAACGATCAAAATGCAACAATTTCGACGTAACTCCAGTGACATACGTGTTTTTTTCGTGGTATTTCCCGACACTAAACTAAAACGTATGTTAATTAGGGTTTATATGCCAAAATTATGCATTAAAATGTTTATTTTTGATAACATGTCCTACATCAGGTGAAAGAGCGCGAAAAAACCTGTTGATCGATGTAAAAAAAAAACAAAAATGCCAAAATTTTGACTTACGCGTTTTTTGCTTTGCACGGCAGAACACGTGAAACCTCTGTTCGTGGAGCTCCTTTGCGGTGTATATTTCAGATGAACCTCGTAGTAGGCCCGTAATCGTGTAATAACATCCCGAGTGTTAACGTAACTTAATACGGAGTTTGTACCACAATCGCTGCAACCGAAGGCGGTTCTGGCGAGGCCGTTGTCCAAATCTCGTCCGTGTCGCCCGCTGTCAGTGTGTGCTGCCGAGTGATAGTGCACAGGACTACCGTGCTCTGTCAGCTCTGTCTGTAGTCGGGTCGGCTGAAATCAGAGCCAAGGTCGAGCTCTGTCTATCGTTCGTCTGCGGCCGATCTACCCCCCCCCCCCCTCCCCGGCCGCTGAGACATCGGGGGCACACGCGCGCGGGCTGATGTAAACTTCCCTGATAAATAGGTCGATAGAAGTGCCTCCTTTGGTGGAACCGCTGTAGTCGAGGGCGTAATAGCCAATAGGTCTTCCGTCCTTTCTCGCTAAACACGAGGGCATGGCTATACTCGTATTTAGTACCGTTGGCAGCTTTTGCGTTCAGTTGGGTAAAATTGTTAGTTTTAGTCGCGTACCCCTGTCGTAGTGCCATTTTAGTCTAGGTTCGGAATAAAAGCCTGCAAACTGAATGAAGAGTGCCTTATTCACTAGTAATCGCCAGTGGTTTTCTTGCGACAATGGGTTAACAATTGTGAAGAACATGCTGATAAATAACCCGACTGACCGAGCACATCTAGGTATATTATGTAAATGAGAATGCACACACGCACACATCTACCCAATCACACACCAGACCGAATTGGAGCGAGACTACACGAGATACTGAGCGGGTCCCGGCTGACTAGGTGGCCGAACGGCCCGCCAGGAGGGACCGCAGACCACAGGAGATGGACCACTGCGAGGGGCGCCGGGCACTCGGCCGGGGCCGGGGCGGGGAACGCCGGGCTGCCATAGCTGACCGGAGTCTGACCCAGCCGCGTCACCGCCGGGACAGCCGCATCAGAGCGTCACAGCGACCGGTACACCGCCGAGAGTGAGACCGCGCCCTCTCCCGACAGTCCCCACTGCACGTCAGCTCGTGGCGTCACAGATCAGCACGGTGTCTCACTGACGGCAGCACGGAACGTCACTCGACGGCTCGCAGCGTCACGTATCGGCTGAGCACGAAGGCCGTGAGCACGGTGACGAGCACGAGCGTGCCGAACGCGATGTAGAACGTCTCCTCATCGAACACGTCCGTGAAGGCCGGAACGCTGCCGTAGATGGCGCTCGTGATGGTCCGCGTCGACTGGTACTTCTTCTGCGACATGGACATGGCGGCAGCGGCGGGAGCGGTAGAGGTAACTCAGCGCAGTCGGGCCTTACCGGCCTTGGTCTTGCCCGCGCCGGCTGCTGCGCTCTTGCCGGGTCCGTCGGTGGGGGCCGCCAGGGGAGTGATGTGCTGATTCCACAGCTGGAGGACCTCCAGCTCGGTCAGGTTTCCCGCCTTGAAGAGCACGGACTTGTCGGAGTCTGCGGGGAGGGGGGAAGGGGGCGGCGTCAGAGGAGGAGGCGGGATCGGGCGTCGCTGCCGGCGGATGGCGCCCATCAGCTCTTATCAGCAAACGAGTCATGGCGAGATCGACGGACCCGACGGGGCCCGGTTCTCAACTCTCGGTTAGATGTGTCATCCTGTGTTCAATGTTCATAGGAGTGCGCCAATCAAAACAAAACCCCTTAGTGCTAGGCATATACGAGTATACCAGCCGTCTACATATTTCTATTCCTAGATATTCTATTGGCCGTCAGGTACACGTCTTAGTTGATATAATATTATATTGTCAGATTAATATTACGTCCCGGACCAGCCATGAACCCTCCAAGAGCCCCTGGGCTTGGGGAACTGATGGGGTTGATGGAGAACTGACCGAGCTGCACGAGGATGGTCGGTTCGCCGCGGTCGTTGGCGATCTCCGTCTTGAAGGTGCACTTGGGATTGGTCTCACGGATCGACCCCGCGGACATATACCACATCAAATTCCTGCGGGAAGAACAAGAGCGACAGCGGTCAGCCTCCAGGTCAATCCCTGCCTGGGGACTGGGGAGGGTCATACATCTTACCAGATCAAAGCAAGCAATGACAGTAAAGCAAGCAACGACGCCCATCCAGCCTGCTCCGCACGGAGGCTGATGGCGATCAGACCAAGGAAAGACAACAGGTAGATACCACGGTGGCGGCTGTTGAGCACCTCTCACCATTCACGGATGTCATATTCATGCGGTACCTTCAGCGTTACGTGCACACGCCAATAAATGCTCGCATCACGGGTGGACTGTGGAAGTGCGTGATGTCGCTCACTCGTCCCGTGAGCGAGTATGCCGCCGTTAATGGCGACTACGTCCGGTTTGGGAGTGCCGAACTGCTCTGTCATGGTCATTGTGGCATCGAGGTGGTTGTGTGTTCAAGGGCCGGATCGCACTCCCAGTGGCCGCGGATGGAGTAGCGGGGAACCGGTACCACCGACGACCCTGCGGGGAGGGGAGGGGGGGGGGGGGCAGCCCGACAGGTCATCCCGCCGCTCGCTCGATCACCACGCGCTGATAATGGCCTGCCACTGATGACATGTATTACTTGTGTGCTCTTCTGGTCCTTGCTCCATTCTCCATCTGTTTTCTCATTTCTCATTCACGCTATAAGCAGGCCTCACGGACGTGCGTGCTGACCCGTGACCGTGCATAGTGTCATGGTAACCTAGTAGTGTCATATATGTATATGGGCAAATTCAACTTCTTAGTTGTGTTTTCTGTACAGGGTGTCTCAAAAGTTCGCTTACAGGTACCAGCCATGCTTTTTTGTCAATAATTCTGAATCAACATGAAATTAACAGTCGAAATTTTGCATAGGCATTGGTACCAACCTTCCTCAAGCAGCTTCATTGTTTTCAAGCGCATTCGACCCTTCATGAGCTCACAAAAAGGGTTCACCTCTGACCATGGATCAGGCATGAAAATGGATGTCGCATACTCGGGTCGGCTGAGAAACTCTCTGCTTCACGAGTAATGGGAATGGTTAGGTCGGAAATGACACATGGCAAAGTGTCGGCGAGGATGAGTACAACATGATGGTCATCTAATAAAAACGGTGGCTAAAATTTTTGAAGGACAAAACCATGCAAGACTAACAGCGCTTTGAACGACCCTTGTACCGCAGCAGACTCGTGCTCCGGAAAGCAGCTGAAAATGCAGTCCTAACTATTGAAAACTGACTAGAAGCTCACAGACAGAGGTTACCCAGTTTCAAAAATTGCAGGTCATCATAAAATAAAGACAAAATATCATTTAAAATTGTTTATAATATCTATAACGCTAAATTTTGAGGGAAAATAATGCGAAAATCGTCAATGCCGAGGACAAGTGACCCTCCAAAAGTGTCAATTAATGTAAAGTTTTATCTAACGAAGTTTCAAGAGGCAGATCTGGAGCAAATAGCTTTCTTTTACACACAAAATCCGGACAAAACCGCACGATGGACAGGTTTTGGCCGTTTACAAAGCAGAACCTCTCCTGAGGAAAACACTCCGGAACCCAGCGAAGGTCTTGGCATTGGGAATGACGAGCGTTCAGGATTTGCAAATTTTGCAAAATGTGTCTAAGAAACAGATGGCCGACACATTCTGCTACGATATGCTGCGAAAAATTTGCCCCTGGCACTTCCCATTTGTTCAGGAATGGGGTTGTTTTGAAAAGGAAAATGGTGCTTGGGAGGTCGGCGCCAGTCATTCATGAAGGAGTTAGCGCCAGAGAAGACCTACAAAATACTCACGGATGGTGTCGATGCAAGCTATCGGCTTTCAGGGAGAAGCGGATGTTGCCGGGGAGCTCGTCAAACCTAAATCCGACGTAGAAACTGCGAGGGATTCCCCTACAAGAGCTTGAAAGCTGGTAACCTTTTATCAGCCTCCGGCAGCTGACGGAGTGACGAAAATCGGTATGGGCAAATATTTTTGGAGATACAGCAAAGGGTTTGGTTTCCAACCTTCCGAATCAGTTGTCAAAGCATGCATATTTGTCTAGTGTAGACACGGACACCAAAACCTTAGATTTTTGGCCGGTTCTTATATGCTTTATTGACATGGGAAATGTGTAAGCGAACTTTTGAGACACCCTGTATTATACCTTGTTTTTAGATATCCGATTCGATTGTTTACCTACTGTGCCCGTGGCGGCTCGTCTGAGACTCGCGAGCAATAGGTATCCTTCTTACCGCCACTGACAACAGTTCGGCGCAGTGCGCGACTCCGGCGCGGCGCCCCGGAACTTGAACGGCGACTCCGACACGGCGTACGGAACAGAGCAATGATCTACTGTGATCTAACAGCGCAAAGTGCACTTTTCATGATCCTTTGTCCTTAGTTTCACCGTCATAGCTTATTCACCTATCGTCCCAAATTTGGTAAATACGTTCTTCAAAGTCACCAGCCAAGTTTCTCCTCTATGAATGTCGAGGTTGACGCCAGATGGTCGCCAGAGGTACAGTCCACAGCAGAAGTAATGTGGGGTTTCAGTCATAGGTATGTTCTGCTTCTGAAGCTTAGGAACGATTAGCCAGACTACAATGAAACTTTGAATGTAGCTTATATGTATCGTCACCCTTGCAGCTGCAACCTTAGCTATTGACATCTTCTTTTCGATCACTCCGCATTAAACAATCGCCAGTCAAAGCCAACCGTTGAGATTGGTAAAACCCTACATTACTTTAGCGGTGGGCTGTACAAGAAAGTCGGCAACACAAACCATTTTGTTAATATTTTAATTCATCGAAGGATTTGGAATCGATAAAATGGCAAAGCACCTGACTGCCGAGCCGAAACAAGCCTGTTTTGAGATGCTGCTACTGCTAGCCTGATTCGAGCCGAACAGACAATTTGCTTTGAGAGCCAGGTTATAAAAACGGATAACAATATGACCCAGCCCACAAGTGTTCATTTCGGCGGCGGTATCGACCCGTCGATCGATATTCGATATAAGCGTGTAGGTACCCCATGAGATAGCGGTGAATAGGACCCGAGCCGACTCCGCCGCCGACTGTCCTTCAGATAGAACATCCGCGATACTGGGCCAGAGGGCAATACACCACTGTGGCTTCTGCGAATTGTATATATTCCCAGCTGGATACAGACTAGTTAGCAGACAGTCGGGTGCAAAGGTCGATCAGGCAGTCCTGCCCGCTGCTGTATTGTCGGCGTGGCACGGCCGAATTACGCCAGGAATCGACGAAAGGCGTAAATAAGAGGACGAGAGCGTCAACCAGAGGAAGCACTACGGCTGAAAACACATTACGCCATGCTGTTTATTGGTAAAATGCTCTGTACGCATTTGCACTCATTCGTTCAGCGTTATTAACGAAGCCAAATATACATTCGCCGATTCGCGATTCGTATTTCCCGGTGTTTATACTATAAACAAGAATCAGTTTGTTGATTGGGACGTAGGGGTGCGCCGACTGCCAGGGTCACTTTGTGCTGGACGTGAGCACAAGTAGATACCTTCGGTAGTCGGTAAGTCTGGTTCAAAGTTCTCTAGCCTCTCCGTGTCCCGCTGGCTATCGGTGAAATCCAGAATGATCACGCCGGCGTGATCCAGAGTGACTAGTCCGTGACCTAAGAGAGGTCTCGGTACGAACGACCGGACCAATGAACGGACCAGTGACCGCACTCCGCAGCTGACTACAGACTACCGGACCAGGGACCAGTGACCACAACTTACCGGATCAGTGAATGCAGCTGCCTACAGAGACTACCGGACCAGTGACAATAACTAGCCGGACCAATAACCACAGCAGACCGAAAAAGTGACCGCAAAATGCAGATGACAGTGAACCAAAGCTGACCGGACCAATCACCAATGCTGACCGGACCTCGGACCGTCGTCTCCCGCTGACCGCAGCTGGCCGGACCAGCTGACCCCAGCTGACCGGACCAGTGACCCCAGCTGACCGGACCAGCTGACCGCAGCTGACCGGACCAGCTGACCGCGGCTGACCGGACCAGTGACCGCAGCTGACCGGAGCTGACCGGCACGTGACAGTTGAGCGTGACTCGCCGGCAGCCGACGGGCTCACGAAGAGACGGTCTGCCGCCCCGAGAGCGGGCTCTCAGCGCGCGCCCCGCTCTCACCACATCCGGCCGCTCTCCACGGGCCGCCCGTACAGACGACAGCCGGCCCAGAGCCCAGATGGACCCCGGACGACACCGGCCTGCTCCGACCCTGCCGTCCAGGTCCCAGCGTTCCCCGGCCGCCGTCAGGCGGAGTGACTTATGGCGAACGAGCACACACTAACAATATTTATAAAACGAAATTAATTCGTTCCTAACGTGGCATCGTGCTAACTGCCTAAGCACGACCGGGGTCGAGGCTGCGGCTCGGCACCGCCACGGTTAATAGATGGGCAACGAGCTGCATCCGGCGCGAGAGGGAGAGGGGGTCAGACGGTGTCGGTATCCGGCCCGGGCCGACCGGGGCATCCGCCGACCCATCCCCCACGCGAGCTCCGCCCGGTGCAGCGGCGTGCCGGCATCAATTGGCCCCTCCTCCCCCCACCCCGTCATACATACTGCACAGTGCGCAGCCGTCGACCCATCTATGCTAGCAATGCACACAACTTGGCACAGCGCACAGGCCATGAATGGTCACTTACAAACTGCATACCATCCGTTCTATCCGTCCTCAGGGCATATGAATCCGACCTTATGATCTTTTCTATTCAGCACTGGACGGCCACCACTGACCATAGGAGCCACTCTCAGGTAAATCAATTATCCGTCTCGGTGATCTATCGCTCAAGATGGGATGAACAGCGGCGAGCGCACCAACTGGAGGCTGTCTCAGTCCAATGCCTCGTCCTAATTTCTGCAATCCATGACCCTGAACTGGTCTTTGTCCGGACGGGCCTAGCCCAACAAAACCAGATAAAAAGAAAAACAAAACAGCAGCCCACTAGCGGGTTTGGGCAGTCTGACCGGACGACGCCATTATTGGCGTCTGGTAATGAGCAGCGGTGATCGATGCCCTGACCACGGCGTGCCCGACCCGCCCCGTGGACACGAGTCGCGTCCTTGACACGCGGTCCGGCGGATTACGGCCGTGAGTGGGTCGGGTTCGGGCCGGTACGGACGGTCCGGCGCCCCATCCCCTGCCGGCAGCGCGCCCCGAGCGCAGATCGGTCACGCGCTGCTCAGCAGAACAATGGCGGAGGAACTGAGCAGTCCGGCCCGGAGCAGCAATGCCAGCGGCGCAAAGCAGCAGGGCCCGGCGAGCCGAGGGCTACCGACTACCACTACCGAGCGGCCAATCATACGGAGAAAACTGCACGCCGATAACACTAGGCGGTGACCGGCTGCGCCTTGACACACAAGCCGCAAAAATGCAGCCTGTTGTGGAAAAAGTATTATCCCGGCTTAGCCCGGCATAGCAAGCAGTCGGCTTGTCCCTCGGACACTCGGACAGGCTCCCGAGACAACAGCCTCGTGGCCGGTCTTACATAAATGAAAGGTTACAACTGGCGAGACTTTTCACAAAGAACATCTGAGGCGCGAAACATCTGTAAGATTTGCATTATGCGACCAGTTTACGAGACACATAACCATCTTAATACGTCTATTCATTACCAACTTGATTAAAGATACATAACCGACAGGTTTCTAGCAGGCTTCGGTGGCAGAACCAAACCATAAGATTGCGTAAACGCTACCTTTCTCATCATTGCTTCATCTGCATTGCCTTTGGGTACAAATTACACGCTATGCAAACGGCAACCCGTGCATGCTAAAGATGACTTCATAAATAAACTAAGCTTAACTTCACTATGGCAGGATCGATCACCTCGCTTCATCATAAGCATAACTCAGAGCAGCAGTCTTATATCGAAATGCATGAGAATTCGCGTCAAAAGAAATGTATTAAAATTATCTGTCATGTTCAGCAAACACCACATTCCAACAGGAGCGCAGCTGCACCTTGTGCAGCGTACTCATTAGGAGGTTACCATGCCACACCAATGCGGCTTCGTCAGGCGCATCGACGTCCACTAAAAATATTTGCGCGTACAAAACATGACCCAAATGCACCGGGCCGGTGAATGGTGATCGACCGCGCGGCGGGCCATTCACCGTTCGGCCCGTGTTACAATTGATTGAGGCACGACAGCCGGTGAGCCAGGCCAATGCTCACCAATAACAGCCCATGGAAAGTTAGCCGTTGCTGAATTCCTGTTCACATGGCATATTTACACACTAGTAAGTGTTATCGTCTCTCATACCTACTTCGCGACAAAGAAATGCAAGAAATGAAGGCCACGACATGAAAGGGCATCAAGTGTGAAATATTTCATATGGAAAAGTATCCTCAACATCATGACTAGTTAGCTGTATGTGAAAGTAAAACAGCATATCCGCTAATGAAATGATGGACTACGGTGGTTGGTTTTATGTCTGCGTAAACACTGAGCTGCCTAGCCACGTCAGACACTGCCGCCGCCACTGATGGCCAGTTGCCAGGCGCACCAGCCGCTGGTGCTAACGCAGAGTGCGGCACCAGCCAGGGGAACTGTCTGCCAGAGCGGCGCCCCCACAGCGCGCGGGCGCATGATGGGTGCCACACCGAGCCGGCCGGTGTAGCAGCTCAGCGTGAGAGAAGCCAAAACCAACAGCACCGACCCCAGTCACCGACCCGGCTCTGTGGCGGCATGGGCGCCCCCGGCAGGCGCCCTCGCTGTTCTGTGAGTCCGTTTGGCGTTACTCGCGGGTCATCGGGTGACTCCGCGGCCCGTCACGTCTGTCGTCACCCCCAGCTGACGGCCGGGGCACCAAGGCCGAGACGATACGTACAGACGGGCCGACGACCACTCCAGGCCAGAAGCGTATCGCCAAACAAACAGTGGCCTCCGCGTGGACCCCGGCTATCGGGCGATACAGATACAGAGCAGATACAGATCGGAGCGCCGCCATATCTGCGCCGGAGGAACTCACCGAGGTCGAAATTATCCGGGACGAGTAGAGTCAGACGTTCCACTTGAGACTATCGGTGGTATGATAACACGGCGCGTTTAAAGGGAAATCAGTGGTATAAGGAAGAAACAAATAACTTTTGTCGCCAAAAAAAAAATATTACAGAGAACATGTCGATAATGGGCTTGACAACCATTGAACTAGCATGCGTTCCACATGCATCGAAATCGCTCTGTTCATCCACCCTTGTCACGCAAACACAACACTTAGGCGAGGAACACTTTGCCACAGCCTGTTAAAGTCATGAATTGTTCTCGCCACCCTCACACCAGTTGACATCATCCTTCTGCGTCGCGCCAGTCCCCCACACTGCTCACACTGCCGTACGACTCTGCCGGACTGTCAGTCTTCAGTAACGCTTTTGAGCTCCTCTCGGCCGGCGACGGCCTCTTGTCCGCGCAGTCCGAAGACTCGACTGACTCTCTGACGTCATCTGAAGGAGTCCGCGTCTTCACGGTCCCCTCCGAGGGACTGGACTGGCCCAGACCGTTCTCCGAGGGAGCCGGATCCGTCCCACAGCCATTAGTGATCGCCGTCACCTGAGGCGCATTCCCGATATGCTTCGTCTCCTCGGAGGCAACACCCCGGGGGGCCGGCACGGGCGGCTCCGGGGAAGGTGCCGTGCTGCTGCTGTTGCTGGACTCAGCAGCGACTCCAGCGCCGTCGCCGGTCCCGCTGCCGCCCCCTGGCAGGGTCTGGTCCTTCTCCGCGCTGTGGATGATGCCGTTCGCGGGCAGGGCATGATCCTTCTCCGCGCTGTGTATGGTGCCGTTCCCAGGCAGCGTCTGATCCCTCTCGACGCTGTACTTCATGCAGTCCCCGTTGGTGCTGGCGCTGTGGTTCCGTTCCTTCGCCAGGCTGGTAGTGCTGCCGGTCTTGCTCATGCTGCCGCCCCTGCCGACCAGGCTGACCTGCGAGGGTGGCGTGACGCGTATGGTGGGCACGCGGCGCAGCACGGCCTGGTCGCAGCAGCGCGCGTTGGCGCAGCTGTCCACCGAGCAGGGCAGCAAGCAGCGCGACTTGGTGCAGCCGCCGGCGGTGCCGCTGAACTCGGGCTGCAGCGTGACGCGGCCGACGGCGTGCGCCGCGAAGAAGGCCGTCACCCGCTCGGCCACGTCGTTGAACTGCTGCGGCCCGGCGAGCACCACGTGCGCGGTGGCCACCACGCAGTCGGGCGTCAGCTGCCACACATGCAGCTCGTGCACGTCCTGCACGGCCGGGAACGCTGCCAGCAGCCGCGTGCGGAACGCCGCCACGTCGAACGTGGCCGGCATGGTCTGCAGCAGGATCAGGCAGCACTCGCTGAACAGACTGCGGCTGGTGGAGACCAGCACGGCCACGGACAGCAGCGCCAGCGCCGGGTCCAGGTAGCGCACGGCCGGCGCGCGGCTCATGTACGCCGTGGTCGCCGAGATGACCAGCAGCACCGCGCCGGACAGGTCGCGGGCAAAGTGGTGCGCCAGCGGCGCCGCCGGCGTGCGCTTCACGAGCCGCGAGTCGGGTCTGAGCTGCGCCTCGGAGGCGGCCGGGGAGAGCCGCTTGGCCGCCTCGCTGGGCGCCAGCAGGGTGCTCTGGAGGCACGTGTAGCCGCCGATGAGTATGTAGCAGACGAGGTTGGCCAGCAGGATGGCGGCCGCGCAGGCCATCACATACACCGGGTGGTGCATGTCGTCCGAGTGCGCCGCGTTCGCCAGCGACTGGATGGCCTCCACCGAGATGGAGAAGCACAGCGCCGCCATGAACAGCAGCGTCACCACCGTGGTCAACACCTCCAGGCGCGCCCAGCCGAACGTGCGCGTCGGCGAGCCGGCGGCCGCGTCCAGGCGCACGGACAGCAGCCAGCCGCCCAGCGTCAGCGCGTTGTACAGCATGTGGTACACCTCCAGGGTCAGCAGCAGCGAGTGCGTGGTGTTGCTCAGCACGCCGAGCGGCACCAGCAGCAGCAGGCTCAGCACCAGCATGGTCCACATGCGCGCCGAGCCGTGCCGGCGCACCACCCCCACCTCCATCGCGGCGGCGCACGGCGCGGACACAGCGCGGGCACAGCGCGGACACGGGCGGCGGCGACGGCGGCCCGGCGGCGACTGAGCGCAGCGCGCACGCCGATAGCGCCCGGCCGGCGACCGCGCCGACGGCGGCGTAACGTGAGGCGAGCGCCGGCCGGCGCCACGGCCTGTGACGCTGCCAAGACGTGCGCACAAGGCCGCCCGTTCCGAGCCGCCGCCAGAAGACCAGTGGTCGGACACCCCCCACTTGCCAACGGCCGAATGTACACAAACGAACTGGTCGAACTGATGGCTCCACCCGACGGCCGCGTGACCGGCAGCGGGGCTGTGGCACCTCATCTGCGGCCGTGGCCGCCATCCAACCGATCCGCGCGCCGGACCGTCCAACCCCGTCTGGACCCAGTGAAGGACGGACCACAGCTCCCCCGGACGGTTCGAGCGAAGACGTCAGCAGAGAGCTCCCCGGCACGGTCCGGGAGGTAACGCCAGGGTCGCTGGTATGGCACGCCACGTGAGAATAGTACCCGACTAGGATCACACTACCGGAGCATTGCCTCAGCTGGTCACGGAATTCGGCATCATGCGATCGAATGGAGCTCGACAGGGCCAATAGAATTCTGAGGAGATCAAATGAACCCCACAGCACACCTCGGCCGTCACAGTACGGTACGTGACGTTGCGACCACACAAGAAACGGAGTGACCTGCCGCAACGTCTTACACCGTGCTGACTTAAGTATTCATACCGTCGTTGCTGGCACAATTAAATGCAGCGCGTGTACTAAACACGGAACTGACGTATAGCTGACGTATACGGTTGCCAGAAGATGGAGGCCCTATTGACGAGAAAACGGTACACGGTGAGAAAATATACCGATAATCTACATTTCACAGGAGCCTACATAAGAATCTCAGTTATATCTCATTGCAAGTTCCCAGTTACAACTTTTCTTATCCTCTTCCTATCAAGAAATTTCGCGTGATTGGTAATATAAAATGCAAACTTCTAGCTTCATTAGAAAGTGGTTTAAAAAAGACCCCAGGACCAAAGTTCATCTCCAAATGATGTGCATATTCTAGGAGGAGCAAAGGCATGCCTCTCCTTGACGAAATGTTCGGCCCGGAGCTATACTGTCGACGGAAACGGGTCGTGACTGAAAGTATAGCGCGTGTCACTGTCGTGCAGATGCGCTTTCACTGTGAAATACTGACGCACGTGAAAGACACCTGCCACTTTTCCACAGAGGCGCCGCCCGGCAAACAAGAACACGAGCAGCCAGACAGGATCACCGCCGCGGTACTCAAACTCCCTGGCTGGCTTCTGACGGCCGAGTGACGGCCCCTCCCGCACCGAGACGGGGCGGCCTGACTTGGAACAAGCCCCCGCGGCGCATCACCGACTCAGAGTCACGGCACCAGCTGATGAGCAAAGCCGCAGACTCGTGTGATGACAGGTTCTAACTTTTTCTTTCTTCGTATACTAATCCATAATATTTACATGTTTTATGGCGCAGTCTGCTAATGCCGAGTGCGTGCGTATTTTGCACATGTGTTTTTTACAAACTTGACCCGAAGATGGTGGATACATCCTTAATCCTTATACTCAGGTTATATTTCATCCTGAGCGTCTCTCTTTCCTCTCAAATTCACCTTCTTTTCCAGCCTTTCATGATTACAAACTACACGGTATTGCAAGACAAAGCGAACGATGTGCAAACACTTCCATGCCAAAGGCACACATTTCGTGCGATTTTCCAGATCGCGGTCAGTAAACACATCAATGCCGTGTTAGCAGACAATCACCTAAGGTACTGTGACCGGCGCTACAGCAGTATATTTGACCGTTTGACCGGCCAGTGAACAATATCACCTGGTGACCCACCTGGCTCCGGGCCAGACACAAGCAAACCAACGAAAAAACACCACCCGGCAACGCGCACAAAAATAGTTCCCCGGCCCATGGAGACGGACAAAAAAGTCGCACTCGGTTCTGGGGACGTGCGACCTGCATACATCGCACCTGTGGCCATTGGTTCCTCCCCAACGGACGACATACGAGAATGTAATTGTCGCTACCACAAAGCAGCACCGGGCGCAAGTGTCAGCTGCAGGCCCACATATTATCAATGGACAAGACTGAGTCCGATTAACTACCCATGGCCGTGCTAGGGACTGGTGACTGGTGAGGTTTACGCCAATAGCTTCTTATATCACACAACCATCATTCATCTTCCCACAAAAGTGTGAAAAACTTATAATCTTAAATAATTGTTTCAAAATTTTCATAATTGAACTGATTGACAAGGGTACGTTCCAGAATGCACTCAAGGTGCATTTTGGAACCAGTTTCCCATAGGTCAAAAGGACTTCATGTTTTCTAACCTCTTATAAAATGCCAGATATTGAGTTGAAATTTCCCGCTTTCCATTGGTGTTCTTTTGTGTCTTCGGGAAAAGTAAGCAACGGCTTATATCGTCATGGCCTATGAAAAGTAAAATCACAAAAAATCAATGATTTCTGGCATGGGACCGATGGATTTTGTAAGACGTGATACCCATTAACCCGCGCCCTGCTGGGGGTCCTGGATTTCCACGCCCTGCTGGGGGGGGGGGGTGTTTGAACACCCCCCCTTGTAACTCGGCTCCTGGGCCACGTAGCGATACGCGAAAGGCGGCGTTCGAAAGAGCGTAAAAAATAATGACGAAATCACTTCGGTCAATTTTTTGGTCAGGTCAAAGGTCAGGTCACCAGAGGTCATTGAAGGCAAAATTTCGCCGATTTCCAGGTCGAATGTCGACAATTTCCAAGAAGCCAACGCATAACTCGGGAACCAATAGAGCTACAGCGCCGCGGAAAAGCGCATTCGATAGCCCTATTAACGCCCTTTCTGAGTAATTCTCTCAGATTTGACCTAAGGTCAACGGTTTTGCCTGCAGGGGGCAAAAACTGCAAAAATAGCCGATATTTTCGAAAACAGTTTTTCTGCAATAACTTTTGACCTAAGCCTTGTACGAGCTTACTTTTACCGGCATCGTGTTCCTCTCGTCAAGACGCATCGAATGAACTATAACTTGACCTTGAAAGGTCAACTTGAAAATTTGACCTCAGGTCAAGGTCATGACCTGACCGGAAAGGGTCATGTTGCATATCAGTCGATCCGTATCGTCGAGCTGAACACATCTAAGGCGTTTTCATCGCTCTAGCATGCCTCTATCAAAAGTTATTTGCGAAAAACTGTTAGATACCATTCGTGACCTAAGATGACCTCAGGGCATAAACAAGGGTCACGGACACCATTTTCAAGTTCAGTGTGTCTAAACCACTTGTAATTCGGTGTTTGGGAGTGTGTATAATGTCTTTCGTCCAAAAGAGGCGCATTTCAATTTTCTCCCATTGACTTATAATGGGGAGGTCGCAAAATTGACCTGACCTTAGATCATCGATATCAAAATTCTGAGATATACATTTTGTACATGCTATTGCTCTTAGCAATCGCTGAAAGTTTCAAAGCGATCGGTCACTCGGTGTAGCTATGACAGACATTGAAAGTTTTTATGAGGTGAGGTCACTTCAAGTGACCTGGTGACCTGACCTTGAATGACCTTGGTCTGAAATTTTCACAACATGTGTAGAATTGATGTATGATAAGGTGTACCAAAAACGGCGGCGCGGAGCGCCGCCGTTTTTGAGATATTCGCGAAAAACCACGAGGGGGGGTGTTCAAACACCCCCCCCCCAGCAGGGCGCGGGTTAAAGGTATACCCAATCACCAACTTACTGTTTATACTTTATAGGTACCATAGTGAAAGTCTGAAACAAATGAATGAGGGTAGACACTTCAGGCCCCAAAGTGGTCTTAAATACTGACATCGATTAGGCAATGCTGTTCACCAAAGAGGGCCGGAACAAAAGCGGTCAACGAACGGCCCCCACCTGGACCCCTCCCCTCCCCACAGGTCAAGGCTGGCTGGCCAACCCCAGCGGCAGAGGCGCACTCAGAGAACGGCAGTGGAGCCAGCCCGGCGGGAGGGATCAGGGCCGCGTTCGATGTCTCCTCGGACGAAGAACATTCTACGCAGAATATTCTATTTTGCGTTCGATGAAGCACACAGGCGGACGACGAGACCGGCCATTTTGTGCGCCACTTACACAATGTGCGTCAGTTTCGAAAAAGGCCCAAGTTTACGTTTCCATAGAGACCGCGCACAAATGTCAACAACTTCTGCAAACAGCTGCTGCGCCGCTTTTGAAATACGCGCCATCATTGCCTCTCTGCCCACCGTAGCACGCTCAAAAGATTCTGCGCGGACGACGAAGATTCTACGTGACGTCACGTAGAATCTTTGCCGTCCGTGCGACATCGAACGCCACTTCGGGCCCGGACGGCATAGAATCTTTGCCGTCCGGGAGACATCGAACGCGGGGCAGGTCAGGGCCGTGTGACCCCAGCGGCAAGGGCGCAGTCAGGGGGATGGACAGCAGGAGGCCCACGCGGCGTGGGGAGGTCAGGGCCGGCCGATCGCGGCGGCAGGGGCGCGCTCAGGGACCCGCGGCGTGCCCTGTCCGACAGTCGGCGCGCCTGGCGCAGCGGCCCCGGCCGGCGACAGGCGCCCGTTCCGATCCCAGCGCCAGTTGTGGACAGAACTGACGGCCGAGTGGAGGTGCCATGCTGCCGCGCCGCCGCTCCGCCCCGGCCAGCTCGGCCGCCGGCTCCACCCCGGCACCCGCCGGCGAGGGCGAAAAGTAAGTCACTGGCGGGCGCCGGCCCGTCTGACAGCCCCACCATGGATGAAGTATTCCCTACCTAATCCTAATCCATACCTAATACCTAATCCATGGCCCCACCCCCTCTCCCGCCGCCCCCATACCAACTGGCGCGCGCCTCTGCTACGGTTGCTGTTGTTTCTGCACGCGGTGTTGATGGGTGTTTGATAGCGGCGGGCGGACGACTGCGGTGCCTGTTGACGCGACCGAGCCAAGGTCGTGACCTGCGCCTGGCTCACAGACACTAACGCCGTGACGAGTTGCGCCCCGGCAGATGGACGGGCGGGCGCCACACGCAGGACACCGGCGGGCTGCGGAGAGCTGAACAAACCGGCTGCACGGCCCCGGAGCGCACGCAACACCTTCCGCTGACGCATAGATAAATATACCTAGCTCAACATACCTCTCTCCTCTTTACGTAGTACAACAAGTAGGTCTATATGGAAACCAAGTGTACCGGAATGTCCCGCACTGTTCGTAATAGGTACTAGCAATACAGTTGTTATTGGTAAACAATGCATTATTAAAGGCGGCAAGATATAGAATGTAGGTACCTATGCTTAGCAGGTTCAAGCACGACACGAGTTCACGCCCGTAACCAGGGTTGGAAGCCCCTTTCGGCCCTGCAGAACAGACGCTCTTCGAAACTCCGTGCAGCGTACCCAATGAAACTCAACGAACACTGAATAGAGCGGGCAAGTGGCCATCGACTTCAGTCTATTTTATAGCCATCTCTAAGTTGCAGCAATGTTTTGCACCTGTATCGAGATATTTGTACGGATAAATCTGAAATTCTGCTGGAAAGGTCAAACAGTACAATTTTCTTTCCCCTCAATCAACGTTTGTATTCCCGATCAATGATGATGGGATACCATCTAAGCGGCACCCGTGTAGCAGACAAGGCCTCCGAATATCGCTGATTTCTGGAAGACCACATCAACAATAAGAGCAATCCCAAGGATATCATAAGCCCTGTTAGGCTTCAGCTCACTGTGACAGGCGACGAGAAATATTTGAACATATGCTTAAACGTCGGCGGGGTTTATATTATCCGTCGCCGGCGCCGCGGACGGTGCAGGTCGGCAGCCGGCGCTCTGTGTTTACCGTCGCGTCGGACAGGGGCCGCCCGGCCGTGTGCTGGCGAACAGGACGAGCGTCCGGTGAGCGGTCCGGCGCCCCCAGAACGGACGCACGTGGCGCCCTGCGTCCCGTCACCGCAGTCGGCGCGGGCCACCTGTCACCGTCCACCAGTCGCCACCAGACCGACCGGATATGGAGGGCGTACCCCCGCCCGGTCCGACTTGACACACTGGGTCTGTGTCCGACCTGACACACTGGATCTGTGTCCGACCTGACACACTGGATCTGTGTCCGACCTGACACACTGGGTCTGTGTCCACCCTGACACACTGGGTCTGTGTCCAGTGTCCACCCTGACACACTGGCTCTGTGCCCGACCTGACACACTGGGTCTGTGTCCACCCTGACACGGGAGAGCGCCTCTGCCCGTCTCATACACGGGGGGGGGGGGAAGTGTCTGCACACCTCTGCCGCGGAGTTAGCGGGGGTAACTGAACACACCAATGACGGGCCTGATCCAGTCCAAACAAACACGAAAACAAAGGGACCAGCCCACGTGGCACGTTACTCATAACAGCAGCCATCTCATACCTAGATGCACCAGATTTCACATGCATAATATGTGATGCAAACTTAGTCAATTTTCTGAAGAACACTTTATGCTTTCAGACAATCAAAGTGCTTGGGTACTTAGAGGGGAGGACACTTAGAAGGGATGAGGGAGGAGAAATTATGAGGAGTACAGTTTGTCAGAACAATGCAGTTTGTGTAAATGGGGCCAGGAGTGTTAGCAAACATGTGCCATTGCATCACCTACCCATCAAAATAATTGTGATTATTGATAAAACCTTTCAAACTGTACCCAAGTCGGTTTTGTGATTCCTTTATCTCTTTTGTCTTTCATCTGAAGGTAAAAGGCTTTGTGATTGTGTCATTTTAGCTCCTTACAAACACATGTAAAATCAATGTCCATTTCTTCAGACATAAATGCTAGAGAGATCTGCACCAGTATAGGCTATTTGGTTCAGATAAAATCTTTAGCTGATGCATTTCATTCCCATCAACTTGGCCTGGTGGATCTTGTTGGTCAGCCAATGCTTATAGGCCCACTCATGCAACACCTACAATGAAATTAGACAAGCTACAGTCAGCTCTAAGTTGTACACTATAAGGCCTTACATGCACTTGTTGTGTTGTGTAGGCCCTCACATCATCATTTGATATAAAGACCATGGTACAGGAGATTAGAATCCAAAGTTTAGTGTGCTCACATGACTAACAGAGCCAATCCCAGTTCCCATGTACTGGACAGTGATTAGTTATCTCTGAACTCTGAGTCTGCTCCCAACAACCACAAAACATAGGCAAACATCAGCACAGTTCATATGTCATGTCAGGTGTCATATCAACTCAAACCCAGCGAGCTGCTCAACTCCCACTTTTTTCAACAACTGCCATTATCGAGCCAGCATATCAGATCAGGGCATTGGCATGGAAACTACTTAATGATAATTGTCACTTTGGTCATATAGGCTTATTGCTTTTTGGCCTTAATTTGTTCCCCAAAAGAGGCTTAGAAACTCCCATGAGAAATAATACTGATGAAAATTGCCATCCTGCAAAAATGAAAATGCTGTAAGTTCTCTCCAGAGTGAGAGGCAGACTCCACCTGCACAGTGATTGCACTATGAAGTGGGTTTCTCCTATCCCTCAAGCCTTTTCTACACCCACTGGTGATAGTGGATAGAATCTGACAAGGCGAGTTGACCCCTGCCGAAAAAGAGACTGATCTATCTTGATAGACAGATGGCTTGGTTGTAGCGTCAACCCTAAAACATTAATTTCAGGTTCACTGTTACTAGAATAAGATAAATGCAAAGAAAATAGCAAACTATTTATAATTATTATACACTAGGAATGAGTGGTGGAATACCTCAGCAAGATTGATGCTTTGAACTTACCTGACTTGCTGCGATGGCTGAGTGAAAGGATCGAATCTGAAAACAACACGTTTTGCTGGCTTCAGTGAGACCGTTTTCAGTTGTTTGATAATGGCACTTATCACTCCATTTGCGAACTTTTTTGTTCCAGAGTATGGGACAGACATACTACCACCACATCAACGCAAAATGTTGAAAAACAAAATATTACTACACCATGCGCCTGCGCGCCACCCGTCACGAACGCGATTCCGTAACTGTATCAGCCGCGCAAGAAATGGCATGAAAATCAGCTTGCGTCAAAGGTGTTCTAACTTTTCAGCTGGGCGACGCTATCGATGTTTTTCTGCTCGTAAAAACGATTTTTGGCCTTTTAATGTTAAAACAAATAATGTAGCATTGCCATAGTATCCATCTTTTACGATAGAAACGTAATTTTGGGACAGCATTTAACTGATTTTACAAAAAATTTGCTGTCTATGATAGAAAAAAAAAATTCACAAGCCGTGTGAGCGTGAAAAGAACACTATCACTTCGGTGTCGTAGAATGGCGGCTTGCGTATCATTTACCAAATAATAAAAACCGAATATCTACTGAAATCTGTGTAATGCATGGCCCATGTGCTGATTATTTATGTTTGATCAAATATTTATATTTGCTTAGGTGCTGCTTGTTTTTTTCATATATGTGATTAGCACAGATACCTGCACTTTGTCTAGCAGCTCTCGGGTTGAGGACTGAGGTCTGGGCCAAATATCAGTACCTACCATACCATGATACTGATATTCTTGTAGATCAAGATGGTGTAACAGCTGGGCTGCATTCTGATTCTGTTTGGTAATTTACGCTAACTGACTCACATCCGTCCCTATGTCACCGCTGGCAACAGGTGGTGGCCTGGCGGCATCCCAGTTCGTCCACGAGGCTCCCACTACTCTGGGATGGAGTTTGCTGACTTCATCCGCACACCCAAGTGTGACCGAGTGGTGCTACACCAGCCGCTGTGCCCACCTCTGGATGGGACTCTCTGCATCACTGGACATCACTTCATCTTCTCTTCCAGACAAGAGGAGGCACAGGAGGTCTGGGTAAGTTTCTAGACATATGGTCATATATAGATGGGATTGAATGCAGTTCTAGCACTTTTTCAGTCAGGTCTGTCTTGATTCTGAACTCTCTCTGTTCAATTGGACTTACTAGTGGTAGGTATGCCAGCCCGAGTGTGTGAAGCATGGCACCAGCCTAGCAGAAAGCCAACAGTGCTGTGCACCACAAAGGACAGTGGGCTCAAGAGTTAAGAGTTAGGCTCACCTAAGCAGCTAAAATGTTTCAGTTATTTTGATGGCTTCTGGACATTTTTGAGAGCTGTGTTGAATGGCAATGTCTCAATATGATTGATGCCTCATTAGTTACCTGCCATTTCCCATGTACCCAGTGCCTGTTGTGAAGCAGTGTAATATGCTCAGAGTCATTTGTGATGCACTGATTGCTGATGTAACTCTCCTAGTTCCTGGTGTAACATGACCCTACAAGTCCTTGGTGTGACGTGAATCACCAGGCTCCATATGTGACGATGCAGGTGTTCCATGACTTGTCCCATGTGTGCCATGAAATGTCTCCTATGTGCCATGAGGTATCCCTGGTGCATTGACTTGTCCGGCCCAGTGTGCTGTGACTCTTCCCCGATTTATCGTAACGTGTCCCCCTCCTGCCATGACGCTGGTCCCCGGTCCGTCGTGACACGTCCGGCCGGCCCGCCAGGTGCTGCACCGGATGATCGATGGTGTCGAGCGGCGTCCAAACGGCATGATGGGCGGCGCCGTGGCCGTCAAGTGCAAGGACCTGCGCGTCCTCGTGCTCGACATCTACGGAGTGGAGGAGTTCAACAACATCGCCCACACGCTGGAGACGCTGTCCAACGTCGGTGAGCTCAGTAGCTACGGGGTAGCTAAGCAACTCGCGACTTCTCCTTCGACTTTGAGAAGGAGTCGCGACTTTGACGCGACTCCTTCCTTCGACATGTTAAGTCAAATTATGGTCTTATCTATCAGTTTATGTTGCTCCCTATCTCATCGCCGCGTTTTTACACTGGTAGCTTAAGATTATGTAGTGCATGTTTTTCATTTGTTTGTTATGCATAATGTTAGCCTTCGATCATCTTATTTTCGTACCATTTTGACTCCATTGAGCTTTTTTATGACGGAGCGAGCGAAGCGAGTGTAGTCTTTCCTTAGATTAACGGAAATTTCTGAGTATGAGCGGCCGGCCGGCCGTGGTCACGCTTTTGCGAGGCTTATATCTCAGCAACCACTTGACCGATTTACACGTGGTAATTTTTGTAGGGTAGCTTCATTCCTTCTACCAAGTATTGGACTACTCCTGATGCATGTGGATGACCCCTTATGCACGTGCCACGTGCAAAACGAAGAGGTGTCCGTTTTGTAATTGTTGCAATATCTCGGTAACTACTTGGCCGATTGCGCTGAAAGTTGGCATGTAGGTAGGCACCCACTAGGCACTGCATATCCATGTGCTAGAGTTGGGGCGCTGCTGCACGTGCGCACGTGCAGGGGTCGTTTCCAGATCTCGAGAACGGCTCGACCAATTACCCTCAAATTTGGTACACAGTTAGGGACCGGTTAGTAGGGTGCCGTGCACAAGTCAGTTGGGACCCATTTTGCACGTGCGCACGTGCAGGGTGCCGCTTCCAGATCTCGAGAACGGCTGGGCCGATTGTGCCCAAATTTGGCACATCGCTAGAGACCGGTTAGGAGGATGCCATGCACAAGTCAGTTGGAGGTACCCTCTCGCAATTTCGCACGTGCAAGGCCCACCCTCTCGCTCGCTCCGTTAGTCGCCCCAAAAGGCGTTATACTGGTTTATTCGGATTCGAAACCGTCGTTGTTACGCAATGTGGAACAAACTCTAGTTATCGCGAGGAAGAAATCAAGCATCCCGCCTGAACAGCAGCATATTAAAGGAAATAGTTCACTTTTTAACATGGGTTTTGAACTGGAATAGCAGTTCCGTAGCCTGGGCTGAGACGAGCATAAATCAGGAGCTTTTACAGCCCAACGATCACCCTAAGCAAAGATATTCTATTTCTCGTCCCGAAAAAGGTGTCTTGCGTTGAGGATGTGTGCCTTGCATATATTCGCATCCAGTATGAAAAGAGCATGGGTACCGAAAAATCTTCAGAAACTAGACAAATTATCTACGAGAACTCAAGAGAAATTCTCGTACTGATCAATAAGGACATTGAGCAGCAGCAGATCACCCAAATGCCGGTGGCCGCGATAATTTCTCTAGTTTCTGAAGAATTTTCGGGACCCATGCTCTTTTCATACTGGATTGCCTGTGCCTTACAGAAACTGAAAAGTCCTTCCTATATCAAAATATAGAAAGTAATCTTTTGTTATAAATAGGTTTTATTTTCTTTGCTGATCATTTTGAACATAAAAAATCATAAATCCATTGCAAAAAAAATAATTTCGTGAAAGTGAACTATTTCCTTTAATGCTAAGAGTAGCATTGCCCCGTCTGTATGTCATCGACTGAATCTCTCCACGTCTCCACACTCCCGACAGACGACATTCGGCTGGCGTACCCGTTCTTTTTCCGCTCAAATCTGGGCGGCGAGGACGACTGGTCCGAGTTTTCCACCGAGCACGAGTTCTCCAAGCTGATTCTGAGCAGCGACGAGTGGCGCATCAGCCACCTCAACAGCGACTTCAAGGTGAGGCCACCTGCTCAGTCGGCCCTCCCAGCTCTCGCTTCCTGTTGACCAGAGTCGCCAGCATGTGTGCGAGGCATCGAACGTTGGACAATAGCATACTGTTTTTAATGCTCAGAAGTCAGAACTCAATTCTTTGTCAGTATCTACTATTTAGTAGTCCCCGCCAGTGACCAGTATCTTTGGTCTCTGTCTATTCGCCAATGTTGTGTTATTGATCGCTGATCTGCTAACAGGGATTGCGAGGCCGCCCGTTGAAGACCCTAGTGCTGCTCTCCTTCCACCCGGTCTGACGCCTTTCCCCGTCAATATCTTCGTCGCTAGGTGTGCGAGAGCTACCCGCGCAGTGTGGTGGTGCCCAGCTCCGTCACCGACGAGGAGCTGATCCGTGTGGCGCTGTTCCGACACGGCGGACGCTTCCCCGTGCTCAGCTACCGACACGACAAGGGCGTACGTAACCCGCACGGTCGCCCTCCCCGCACCAACTGTGATCGGGGGAAGGGAATGGTGATGGATGACATATCGGCATAGTGGCCGTGGTAACGACGGTAGGGGGCGGTGTAGTTCTTGACTCTATCTTGATCAATACCATTTCCTTGAAATAGTTCAGTCACATTGTCGTTTCGTTTCGCGTGTCAGTCTGTGGCTATCCAGTTAGATGTTCCACATAAGCAGGTGTATCGGGGGTTTATTATCTGCCCAGTAGCCTTGCCCCATTGTCCCGTGTACGTCGTGTCTAACCCCACTCGTTACCGTCCCGCAGTCGATCCTACTGCGCAGCTCCCAGCCAATGACGGGAAACCAGCGCCGCTGCCGAGAGGACGAGAAACTCATCAACGCGGCGCTCGGCTCCAGTGGACAGAAGGGCTACATCATCGACACCAGGACGCAAAACCTGGCCATGTCAGCCAAGGTTAGTAATGATACCAGACAAGCGCACAGAAAACCTGGCCGTGTCAGCCAACTGGTAGATATTAATACCGGGCACATATCGGATACAGATCGTCCTGGCCATGCCAGCCAAGGTAGATACCTAATAATACCAGACACATATCGGACACAGATCGTCCTGGCCATGTCAGCCAAGGTAGATAGATCGCTGCCTTATGGCTTATACTGACTCAGATCTCTTTTTCTCACGTGCTTCTCTCCTTTTTTTAAACATATTTGGCTGGCGTGCGGCCCCGACTCTCTCCTGCAGAACCGCGGCGGTGGGTACGAGCCGGAGAGCCACTACCCTCCCTCTGACTGCCCCCCCCCCCCCCCCCCGGCAGAACCGCGGCGGCGGGTACGAGCCGGAGAGCCACTACCCTCCCTCTGACTGCCCCCCCCCCCCGGCAGAACCGCGGCGGTGGGTACGAGCCGGAGAGCCACTACCCGCAGTGGCGGCGCGTGCACAAGCCGATCGACCGTCAGGCGGCGCAGCTGGACTCCCTGCAGCGCCTGGTGGACGGTCTGAGCGACACTGCCCAGGGCATGGACCGCTGGCTGGGCAGGCTCGTCTCCTCCAACTGGATGTCGCACGTCAAGGACACGCTCAACTGTGCCTGCTTGGTGGCCCAGTGTCTTGACCAGGTGAGTGGCAATGGAGCGAGACTGGGTAGGGGGCAGATACGGGAGGCTGGGCCACTGTTCAGAGCTTCAGACTCTAGTCGCGCGGCGAAAAGTCGTGGACTTGTAGTTATGATGAGGTTTATCTGATGACCGTCCTGTATAGTGTATCGATCAGACTTCGGATGACCTCTGTGGCGGTGTTTGTTTGCCAGGAGGTCACCTCAGTGCTGGTGCACGGGGCGGACGGTATGGACTCGACACTGCAAGTCAGCTCTCTGGCCCAGCTGATCCTGAACCCGGACTGTCGCACCATCCGAGGGTAGGTCGGGGACGGGACGGTAACGTGACCACTCGGGTAGGGCATGTCCAGTGCACCAGAGACAGTGTGAATGGTGCGAAAATGAGATAGTCCGCCGAACGCACTAGGAGCAATATTGGATACGGGCGCTATGGATACTTCCTAGTTGCGCGTAGAAAGAAACCTCCGCTACCGATGAGTTTCAATGTGACGACCTGATCGGGGCTCGATTATTGGTTCAGGCTCTATTATTATAGCAAAGCGGCACTGACTTGACCTTACCTGACCCCCCTTCCCTTCCGACAGGTTCCAGGCGCTGGTGGAGCGCGAGTGGCTGCAGGCCGGCCACCCGTTCACCTCGCGCCACCGGCACTCGGTGTTCGCGCCGGCCGCCAGCCGCGACCGCTACCAGGGCGTGGCGCCCTCGTTCCTGCTCTTCCTCGACTGCGTCTGGCAGGTGACCAACCAGTTCGTCACGTCGTTCCAGTTCAACGACGCCTTCCTGCTCGACCTGTTCCAGCACTCGTACGCCTCGCAGTACGGTGAGTGATTCCTCCCCCCCCCCCAGTGAGTGCCCCTAACTCAGACGCGCCTCAGAGTTAGGTCACTCAGACGCTCAGTGATTTTGCTGGCCACTGTTTTGCTGATGTGGTCTTCTAGCCGATTGATTTGACAGTTTGTTGTCCACTGAAACCCCGGCCGTGGGTTGACTCCGTGCGAGCACCTACCCGAAGAGTGGATCGCAGATGGGGCAATGTCTTTTCCATGTCATGCTGCACCGCCTGTTGACGGACCTGTGACCGTTTCCCCGCCCCGCCGACAGGCACTTTCCTGGGCGACAACGTCTGTGAGCGCGAGCAGGTGCAGCTGCGCGAGCGCACGTGCAGTCTGTGGTCGCACATGAACAGCGTGGAGGTGCTGCCGCGCTACCTGAACCCGCTCTACGAGCCCAACAAGCGGGTCATCTGGCCGAGCGTGGCGCCCATGAGTCTGACGCTGTGGCCGGGCCTCTACCTGCGCTGGACGGTCGACCTCAGCGCGCAGCGCGCCGCACTAGCCAGGTGGGTAGGAGTGGCAGATGGGCGAGTGTGTTACCCGCTGGTCAGCTTAGAGAAGAATGTGACTTTTCATGAAAATGAATGGGTTATGTGAATATGAGTGATGAGTCTTCGGTGCTCGCGTATCGTTCTCACACAGATGGCGCTAGTATTTTGGGTGATGGCCATGGCTATAACTCGTCCAGTTGAACGGCATGTTATAATACCCTGTTTTGTGTACCGTTTTCCGCGTCGAGGACGCTGTTGTCGACCCCATGCTAACTTCTGACCCCGGCCTCAGTCTTCTGTACTTTGCTGACCCCTCCGTCCTCTGTATTAACTGCTGACCCCTCCCCGGTCCGCCAGGGCGCACGAGATTCACGCGGAGCACGGTCAGCTGCGCGCCAAGGCGTCCAAGCTGCGGCGCCGGCTGCAAGAGCTGCAGCAAGAGGCCGTGCGCCGGGACCTGCTGCAGCTGGCGGTCTCACCGGACGCCAACTGAGCGCGGGCGGTCTGCAGCGGACGGTCAGGAACTGTCAGCGGTCGGTCTGGGACGGCGGGGCTCGGCCGGGACCCACCTGTCCGGCCTGTGGACGGGACGGGGTGATCTCCCGGGAGAGCGGAGCGCGTCCGACGGGCGGCTTCCGTTGGGGGGTGGGGAGGGGAGACTGCAGGCGATTGTGAGGGATGCAGAGGTCGCTGTCAGCGGACGACCATCCGTCAACCATCACACGACCATCGTTGGACCAAATGCGGACCCGGTCTGTTGGTGGACCAGCGTTGAACCATCTGAACCATCGTTAGACCACCATCAGGCTTGGTCTGTTGGTTGACCATTTGTGAACCGTCGTCGGACCACGTTGGACCGTCGGTGGACCACCATTAGATCTGGTCGGTCGACGGACAACCGTCGATTCACTATAAGAATGTGGTTGTTGTCCTCCGTCGGACGTATCTCCCTGCGTTTCAGTTTGGACTGAAGTCTCTGGCGGGTGCGGACCGCAGCCAATCGCAGTGAGGACGGCGCCCATAGGCCCCCTGGTCTGAAGGATGGGTCGTCAGGTCTTTAGGTCCGGTCGTACCCAAGATCTTAAGGTCCCAGTGAGGGTCGAACCCCAGGTCTCCGGGTCCCGGTGTGCGCCGGACCCACAGGTCTCGGGTGCCGCGCCCGCTCCGCGCGCGGTCCCGAGACCGGGGTGCGTCCGGCCACTCCCACCTGTGGTGAGGGGTCTGACAGCGAGTCGAGCCCTCTGCGAGCCCGAACAGCCAGCCCCGCCCTCCGCCCGGCATTGTTAGGCACATCGGTGGTCGCTTATTATCGTTAATCGTTGCATTGTCTGTGGTATCGCGCTTGTCGGCTGTTATTTATGAAGCTGATCGATGTTATATGTATCGTTCGCCATGGTATCCCGATGTGGCGGTGTGTGTGCAATGGATGGTCTCGTTTTACGTTTTTCAGACTTCCTGCGATACGCGGCTGCTGCTGTCTTTATGCACTGTTTCTGAGTGAGCTGATGGGATATGATGTGGACGAGGGGACCACTTCCTATGTCAGTTTGATGTCGGGATGTCTTTTGGAAGTTATTCCAGAGTTTGATGAGCACCTCACAATCGTTTTAAAACCTTCAAATCTCAACACAACTGCACATTTGAACACACGCACGCACATGCGCACAAATGACAACAGACGCCCGCATTTACACGCATTTACACAAACACGCCCAACACGCATATGGATCCACATCTGGAACATTAATCACTTTTCCCCGGCTTTATTCAATTTTGCCTCGATCCGACCGTATGCATTCAATCCCAGTGTTAGAAGGACAGTGCTGTGATGTTTTCCACTGCTGTTTGATGTTCCCTGTGGCTTTATCTAGCCGCCGATAGTATGGGACAACCTTTTCAGACATCTTCCCATTCCCGGACACCGTCTCGGTGATTTTCCACAGAAGTTGCCATGCTGGGACCGTGGCTTTGTTCACAGTTACACTGTGGACTGATCAGCTCTCTCAGGCATGCTATCGGCACGGTGCGTCATATTATATTGCAATGATAAAGCGCGGTGAGACAGAGAGCGTCCCTGTGTTTGTGCCGTGTCATGTTGGGGCCGGCGGTCGGTGCGTGTGGACCGGAGTGCGATCTGAGCTGGTCTGTCCTGTCGCGAGTCTGCACTATTTATCAGAGTGGAGAGGCTCTCTGTGCGTCATGTACCCTGTATACCCTCTCTCCGTCTGCTCGCACTTGTCTGTTTTCTGAGCGGCCCGGTAGTGGGGTGCTGAGTGCCGGTCGGACCACTGACAACGGACCATTATGTGGTGGTCTGTCAGATGCAGGGAGCCCATAATCGACAAGTATATCAATACAAAGAGTCACAGCTGATCGAAGTGTTTGATGAACGGTTTGATGAACGATGAACGGATGAACGGTGAATGTGGAAGGCTTTTGATGTGAATACTACATACATGCATACATACATGCATACATACATACGTACATACATACATACATACATACATATGAGCGAAATAGCAAACGACGAGTTATTTCAGCATTCTCCACTAATTATTTGACTCTTTATCGATAACATCAACAAGCAGGGCGTACAAACGGAAACCACTTATCACTCCATACGGGTAATCCAACATCGCAGCAATGTTCAAACACGCACAGCGCCGACTGTTGTCTCGGATACCGAAAATGGGGCGGGTATCGACGGCCGCCCTACCAGCCGGTGACACTTAGGAGCGGCCGCCGGTCCCCATCGCCGCCGGCCTCGCGGAGCGCTGGGTGTGTGGAGCACACAGGCGCCGCCGGCCCGGGCGCGGCGGCCGCACCCCGGCTGTAGGCCTCGCTCGGCCGGGCGGCGCGGGTGTTTGTGGAACGCAGCGGCCTCGCGCTTCACTCGCTCGGCGGTGGACGTGCGCGGTGATCGACAAATAGCGGTGCACGACTGCTATCAGCCGTCCGTGGCCCGGCTGATAACTAGCACCTAAAATAGCTACGATCCTAAGCCCGAATCATTGAGTCCTTCACCCGTACTGACTAACACTGGCGCACTATCTGGATAGTTACCGACTGGGGTCTGGACATTGAGTATCCGTTGGCTGGGCAATGACCATCTCAATAGTGAGTAGGTACTACTACTGACCCACTACTTAGCTACGCAACGGCGACTAGCTAACTGGGTTGGGTGTCGTTCCATGTGATAGCGTTGTTCCCATTGCACAGGTCGTGGCTCTCCCGAACGAACAGTACTGGTGGACTGAGGGCCTCGGCCTATTTCCGGACTGTCGCCGGCGGCGTTGCACCAGCTGGGACAAGTCTGGCGATCACATGAGCCGGAGAGTGCACCCGGCACCCGCCCCCGACGAGTGCTGCTCGACATTACCAGGTCCAAGGTCGGAACTCGGCCGCGACACACCGCTTTGAGATAAAGATACCGTCTGCTCTTAGGGACGACGGCAGGCCCGTCTACAGTGGCAATATGCTGAGTCACGATAGCTTGTTTTCGGTTGCACTGCAGTAGCCAATTAAAATATTAGTTTTTAATCGTTTGGATGGTTGGCATGAGTGAAGACATTATAGTCAAAATTGATGTGAAAATGATCATGGTAAACTGGTAAACTAAAGAACCAATACAATTTTTGGCATGTTATTGATCATTTTCACATCAATTAAAATATTAGGTATTGACCATGGTAGAAATGGGATACGGTATTGATTACACGCCAATTAAGCACATCTTCAAGAAAGCATGGGCGCTATCGATACAATGCAGCATTATCTGTTTTTATTGTCTTTCCACGGATCTGCTATAGGTGGAAAGGTTTTCTTTAACCCTATTCCTGGCGGGCTCCGCCGGGACAAGAAACTGGCGGGGGGGGGGGGGGGCCGATTTGGCCCCCCCTGAGATCTCGAGAACGAAGCAAGATAGCGACAAGCGGTAAACGGCATCGGATACGCATGGACAAGGTCTACAATTTTTACTAAGGTCATTTTCAGGTCAGGTCAAAGATGACGTCACAGGGGTCGAAAAAGTCAAAATGGCGGCGCTAGATATGGAGAGAGTTTTTCTCGAATAACTTTCGAATTAGTCAAGATAGGAACAAACTATGGGCATCATCGTGATCCTCTCGTCGATCCGCATCGAATGATATATATGTTGACCTCGAAAGGTCAAGGTCAAAGGTTGACCTCAGGTCACGTGACCTCGAGGTCATCATGTATATCATTCGATGCGTCTTGACGAGCTGAACACAATGAGACCATCCACGCGTCTGTATCTTGTTCCTGTACGGAGTTATTGGCCAAAAACCTTTGGTGACCTTTGATGACGTCACATGACCTCACAGCTGCCCAACAGCAAAACAGACCTCAAGGTAGTGAAGGTTGATCGTATATGAAGTCATGTATGGAATATGGGGCCATTCCGACCCGTTTTAGAGGTAAAAACAGGGAGTTGATTTTTCCCCCATTGACTTATAATGGGGAGGTCGCGAAACTGACCTGACCTTAGGTCACCGATATCAAAATTCCGAGATATACAAATTGCACATACTGGTACCCTAACTAAAGCCTGAAGAGAAGAAATTGATCGGTCAAAAACTCTAGCTCTGGCGTGATTGCAAACTTTTCTGAGGTAGGGTCACCAAACCGCCTCTGGTGACCTGACCTGAGGTCAGATCAACTCAAAATTTTCAGACATGTTGCGTAGAAGCCTTTTAGGAAAAGTCAGAAAATTTGAGCTTCCTAGCTCAACGCGTTTGGGAGAAATAACCAAAAAACCTCAGGGGGGGCTCCTGAGGCCCCCCCCCGCCAGGAATAGGGTTAAAAAACGAAGTTTCGGGTGCAATATCGTCAATAATCATACAGATGCCTGGCATTTCTTTTTTACCCACTCGTGTGCGATTCCGCCCAATCTTACCAAATGAACAAACACTGCCGGCCCTCCTCGAACACTACGAACACTGCCGGCCCTCCTCGTTCCGGCAGTGAAAACACAAGTCGATGCATCAGTCGCGCCGCTTGTAATTTGCCCACAGATGGCACTAGTAAGAAGCGCCTGAAGGTATGCTGTACCGCATTGCTTGGTTCGACGCCTGGAGGTAGACTGTGCCGCATTGCTTGTTAAGGCGCCTGAATGTAGGCAAAGGTTGCGCCGCAGGTAGTCACACGTAAATTGAGATAAGCATAAGCTCGGTCTGGAAAGACAGCGATGGTACCTAACGCTTGTTGGTGGCGTGACATGCAATGTTATCGACCTGTAGCGGACGATGATCACTTACCTAATTTAGCGGACGATGAAATAGATCTTCAGCGGCACAGCTCAATTTTCAGCTATTGCAGGTGGCACCCATGCATGGGTGCCATGTGCAATAGCTGAAAAGTAAGTCATATAGCGGACGATGATACCGTCCTCACCTGTGACTGACGGTGATACCACCCTGTGGAAGACGATGGTGTTATGTTGATGATACCGTCCTAAGACGGATACTGGCGGATCCAGGGGGGAACATTTGGGGCAAATGCCCCCACCCCCTGCGGCCCCCAAAATCTACATTGTTCTCTAGAGTGAAAAGAAAACTACCTTAACAACTTTTATCAGGAAAAGCTTTTGTAAACTGCTCAGCAGTGCGTCAGGGATCTAAATCCGGGGAGTTTTTGGAGATTGGAGCAGCTTTCGGGGTGTGGGTGGGGGTATTATGCGGTGCCCCAGCAGCGTCCAAGACCGCTTTTCTTGTGACTTACGATGGTGCCACCCTGCGGCAGAGCCCGCCGCCGCCGCTGGTGACGTCACCTCTGTTGGCCGTGACGTCACTCCTGCGGTCGATATAAGGGCGGTGACGTCGGCCCGCTGTAACTCAGTGCGGGCCCTGGAGCGACCGGGTCCGGTTCTCCGTGTACGGGTTATCAGCTGAGCGGCAGTCAGCTGGCGGCGACGAGAAGTCACCCCAGCGACTCGACGGTAGAGGGGAACGGTGAGCGAAAGCTGCAATGTGCGGCGTAGGCAGGAGAATGGCTGAGCGTCCCTTACTTTCACATTGGTCAGCCGACATCGTTTCTGTTTTATTATTACTTGTTGAATGTCAAACGGTAAAACTGAATACCTATACATATCTGCCGCACAACGGCAATGTTTAATTTAAACATTGCCGCACAACGGTAATCAGGGGCGTCGTTTTGTATAGGCCTGGTAGGGCCCGAGCCCTACCAATGTTTATTTGGGCCCTACCAATGTTCGCTGAGCCCTACCAATCTTTTGTCACTTATCAGTTGGTAAAAAATCAAAATAAACAGATAAGCAAATAAGCATATATGTACAGTCGTCACAGATGTGTGTGGCCTGTGGGCCGTAGGAGCTGCTGTCGCGAACTCTTCGCAAGCCGGCAGGGGGTTCTTAGGGAACGGCAAGGGGTCCTCACTCCTCAGGCCGGCAAAGGGTCTTCAGAGGCCGGCAGCACCTTCAGAAGTTCAGTGGGGTCCTTAGAGAACGGCACGGTACTCTCAGACTCCGGTGGGATCCTCAGAATTGCCAGTGTGGGCCACGCAAAAGTCACCGGTGGGTGTCCGTCAGATGCACATGTGTGGGGCTTTCAGAGGCGCCGGAGAGGGACCTGCACAGTCGCCGGCGAGGGCCCTCTTAAGCGCCGTTTCGGGGCCTTCAGATACACTGGTTTATGGCCATCACAGATATGCGTGGGGCCCTTAGAGCTGCTGAGCTTAGTGCTGATGCGGGCCCTCCATAGGCCGACAAGGGGACCTCAGAGGTCGGTGGTGCCTTCAGGAGCGCCGAGGGGGTCCCTTTAGACCAGAATAGTATTCTCAGACGCCACTGAGACCCTCAGAGTCACCAGTGTGGACTCAGTGGAGCCGTCAGAGTCGCTGGTGTAGGGCCTTAGGAGCCTCTGATGAAGACCCTCAGAACTGGGGGAGAAGGGGCATCAGAAACGCCGGCGTGGGCTCTCAGAAACGCTGGTGTGGGCTATCAGAGGCACTCATCACTGTTATTGGGGCCCTAAGAGAATTGGTGTTGGACCATCACAGGCGGGCATGCAGCTCGTAGAACCGGCTCCTAATAGGCCAGTAAGGGCCCTCAGAGGCCACCAATAGGCCCTCGGAGCCGAGGCCACCTATGCGCCCTCAGAGCCGAGGCCACCAATGGGCCCTCAGAGGCCAGCAAGAGATTCTCAGAGACCGTGAGGGGCAGGCTGGTAAGGGGCCCTGGTGACAAGGGCTCTAAGAAGCCGGCGTGGGGCACTTACAGAGATCTTAATACGCCACTTAGGGACCCATGAGATGCTCTGACGAGCCCTATGGGGTCCCTTTGAGACGAAATATGGCCAGCGTGGACCCTCAGCGGCCGATTGGCGCCGCAGGGGCCCGAAGGGCCCCCTGGACCCGATGGGAGGGGCATGTGCCCCTTGTGCCCGCCCCTCCCACCCCCCACCCCCACTTGGCTACGCCACTGGAATCTATTAAGTTATGTGTAAGGTCTCTGCAAGATGTATCCCCCGTTTGCCGACTCTGCAGAGAAAAGGCAAGCTCGAAAGGAGGCTTAGCGCGGTATTTTTGGCCCCTTTATCGAATATCTAGAAGATGTCATTGACTTGTCACCGTAAAGGAATTGTGGGTGTCACACGTTGACACTAATGGCTCGTACTGTCATCCTTTAATTTTGGCAAGGAGGTCTTTCTAACTATCGTGGTGTTTCGAGACCTTGTTAGTTGTCGAACCCTGCAATTGGCGTGGGCCTTCAAAGCCGTTCCTGGCCCCGCAGCCGTCTTTTTCATTCGGCTTGGGCCATCAAAATCGTTCCTGGCCCCTTTCAGCACAGCAGTGCTTTTAAGTCAGCGTGGGCCTCTTTCAGAATGGCGTGCATTCTTCCGACACTATTATAACTGCCTATTTAACTGCACGTTTTGTGCATGGAGCTCGGTGAGGACCTAGACTTCCAAAATGTTTTTTTTTTTTTATAGATTTTGGTTTGTCTTGTCAATGACCAGGGCGAAAAAATAAGTGGCCGAAATCCGATGAGAAAGGCAGATTTGGGGGTACCCTACCTTTTAAGCCCCGTCACATATGGCCGACCGCCGCCTTTGGGCCCTACCAATCATTTTCGGAAAACGACACCCCTGACGGTAATGTTTACCTATGTAAATTCTTAAATGTAGGTAATGGTAGCGCTGTTCATGTACATACAGGGCGGTTGTGTTGATAACGCTTAGGTACTGGAGTTAGACGAGAGTCGAACATTTTACTTTGTTGTTGAATAAGATGTTTTAAATTACAACACAGCAATGCTAGTTTTCATATATTTTGACCGTGCATGGTATATCCCTTTCTACTCAATGTTCGCTCTCCTGTTACATGTTGTCAGAAACCCGCTCATACCCGGCTGCCGTAGCAGCCTACCTTTTTTCGGCACCTACACAAAACACCCCACCGGCCTCCCCTTTTGGTGACAGGTGTTCGGCTCGACGTGATCGCCGTGACGCCATGGCGGCACCCAAGGGAAGGATGGTGAGCTTCACCATCGACGGACAACAACATCAAGGTGAGTCACTCCGCCACAAAAAGTAATCGAGTCTAAAAACGATCGCATGTTTTTAGTACCTACATGTGGTAAAAACAAGTAATTGAAAGTGGATATCCTGCCAACCCCGACACCCAACAAACAGCCGTTATGCGGTAGCTCACAGGGCAGCCCAACGAAAAGTGAATTATAACTTGTAACATAACGTAAAGTCAACTCCATCTAGCGCCTTTAATCACTATTATTTTCGACGATCGTTACGGCGCGTTGCCTATTATCGCTACTGGCGCTTTCGGTTTCTATGGAAACGCCAACAAATCAAGACGCTTGCAATGAAGGCTGTTAATGTTTCCATCATCTATGCAAACCAAAAGCGCTAGGAGCGCTAAACCGCTAGCAGAGTGCCGTGAAACAGGGCGCTGGAAGCCTGAAATGTAGACTGTGCCGCGCGCCCGGCTGTACTGCGGGACAGCCTAACTTGCCCATCCTGAGTGCACGCCACAGTATGATCCGTGCGAGGAAGGCGGGCGTGGCGGGAGCGGTGGGACCGGGGGACAGGCCAGAACGACCATGTGGTTCAGGAAGTGACATCCCGATGCATCAATCACGAATCACGAGGTCAGGAATGGTAAGTATACACATTAGCTGTTCCATGCAGGTGGACTCCCCCACTTCGTATACGAAGTGAATGATATTTCACCATTAACGCTTCCCTCCAGCCCGTTCCCATTCGGTTCCCCACGCGTCTGTTCCTCTCGGACGGAAGTTCTGGTGCACTGTCAGCGCGATAGAAGGCTAACTAAGCGCTATGATGCACGTCTGGATCGGTTGGGCATGCTATGGCCGAACCGAACCATCCTACCGATGCGATCTGCTGTTCAGTATTCGGCTGCAGTGATTCGGAGAATATGTGGCCTCAGAATGGCTCGAATGGGCGCGCTTTGGCTAAATCATGATGACCGATGATGTCTTTCGTTTTATATGCCCTAGCTGCTGTTGATATCCGCTCTGGACCGGTGAGATGCCCTTTACCACGCCGGCCGCTGTGACCGTCCTCCCTGCGCCGGCAGTGAGCGTGGGAGCCGCGTCGGACGGCTCGACGGCGGCGGTGACGGCGTCCACCTCGCTGGCCGACTACCTGCGCGACCAGTGCGGCCTGCGCGGCACCAAAGTCATGTGCCGCGGCGGCATGTGCGGCGCGTGCGTGGTGACGGCGCGCGTCACCGACCCGGCCACCGGCCAGACGGAGGTGCGCGCCGTCAACTCGTGTCTGGCGCCCGTGCACAACTGCCAGGGCTGGCAGATCGAGACCGTGCAGGCCATCGGCGACCGCAAGGCCGGCTACCACCCGGCCCAGTCGCGGCTGGCACAGATGAACGGCACCCAGTGCGGCTACTGCAGCCCAGGAATGGTCATGTCCATGTACAGGTAACGGACTAATCACCCAGTGCGGATACCGCAGCCCTGAAATGGTCATATCATGTCCATGTTGTACAATGTATGTACATTGTACCTACATTGTATAGGAAACGGATGGTGCACATAATCTCCCGTCTGTCTCCCGCAGTCTGCTGGAGTCTGGCGAGGCAGTGACTCCCCAGTCGGTCGAGCAACACCTGGACGGTAACTTGTGCCGCTGCACCGGCTACCGTCCCATCCTGGCCGCCTTCAAAACTTTCGTCCCGGATGCCGACGAAAAGACTCAACAGATCATCAAGGACATCGAGGTAAACTCCGCCCGACGCTCGTTAACCCCAATCGGTGATCACTAAACACTCCGCGGAACGGGGAACAAGGGGAATAGATTGTCACTATTTATTTTATATTGGAATGGAACATATTGAAATAATTATGATATTTATGGCATTTGGAGTGTGGTGTCATTTTGCAGGGTGACTAGGCGATGGTTTGCATTTGAACACTTACCTATTTAGCACTTATTGATCTTCGACGGTGTAGAATGTCATTGCGTGCATTTAATCTTTTTTTTTTCGATAAAAAACACTAAATGTTTTTAAGGCGTGGATTTAAAGCATGCTCTTTTGCTAGGTATTGGCTATATGATTGATGAAAGGAAATAAATAAATAGACATGCAAGATAAATATGCCTGAATGCAACTTCTTCGCAATGGTAGGGCGAGCTTCCAGTCGTTGGGCTCATTTTTTCGGCAATCATTGCCGGATACAACAATTATTGATACAATGTTTACTGAGCAAGCTAAAACAAGAAAACTATTTTGTTGGTGACCATGTAATTCGGATTTGGCATTCACTATCGTTTTCAAGTAGTTTGCAACATGGCATTTCTATATTGAAATAAAACCCCTATCAGCTTGGATCTTACGATAAAAAAATAATTGGTAGGTAGCAATAAATTCTGCATGTCATGCGACGCCCTTGTGAGTTGTGTCAGTCCCTCATTTCTGATCAAAACAACATCATACTGTCGCACAAAGTCCGCTATAAACGTGCTATGGCCCTTATATAGTGCAAACGATCAGTTTTTGACACCGTTGCGATGCCAGCTACGTCATCTACAGCGTCATGCTGGAGCTTGTTACAGACTGAGGATGGGGGCGGGCCAGTGTTTGTTCAGAAGTATAGGCATACTCGTGAAGTAGCACTCCAAATAGATCCGCCTACCGCCACAAAGAGATTTTAGAGCAGGTGTGCGATAAAACGCACTGCGTTCGTAATCGCGATCTCTGTCGCGTCTCAGTCTGTTTCGGGTGTTCAGACAGAGGTTCCACTCATGTTTACAATGTCTCGGGTTCAAGGCCTGACACCGACCGACAGTGAGATAGACTGAGATCTTCTGCAGCACTTATCGTTTATCGAACAAAGAACAGCTGGACCGACTTTGCGAAGTTCTCGAAGAAAATGCTGCGGGCCGCCCTTTTAAAGCGTAGCCGTTTAGAATCTATTGACGGTATCTGGTTGCTATGCGCGACCAATGATCACCTATTGGTTTATAGTCGTTTATACGTACCTTCGTTTTAGCTCCAATTTGTTGTTCTTTCCAATGTGGGGCTAATAAAAGAGATCCTATTGAACTGAAAAACTCGATCACCTACATCTCTCCATTGACTTTTTGTCACTGACGTATGATCAGTTCGCGGGCCGCATTAACTTCGTTTTGTCTCAGCGGTAACTCAGTGTCTGTTTTTGTACCCCTCTGTACTGTCCTGTACAGTGTACAGGATGTGACAGTGGACTGGTAGCTCTGTCTGTCTGTTTCCCTCTGTACATGGGATGTGGCAGTGGTAGCTGGTAACTCTGTCTGTCTGTCTGTGTCCCTCTGTACAGGATGTAGCAGTGGTAGCTGGTAACTCTATCTGTCTGTGTTCCTCTGTATAGGCGATGTGGCAGCGGGAACTCGATGTTTCTTTCTGTGTACCTTTGTATAGGATGTGGCTCCCTCGGGCTCCAAGGCGGGCTCGTGCGCCAAGAAGTGCTCGGGCGGCGGCGGCGGCGGCTGCGTCGGCTGCCCGCGCACCGCTCGCCTGGCGTCGGACGGCGCCGAGAAGTGGTCGTACCCGACCAGCCTGGCTGAGCTGTGCGCCATCATCAAAGCCAACCCGGCCGACAAGACGCTCAAGCTGGTCCGAGGCAACACGGGAACAGGTCGGTCAGGGATTGCCGGTCGGGCGAACGGAACAGTGCCGCTCATGTGATCACTTTTTGTACGAGAAGACCACTAATACATATTTATGCACGTATGCTTTGATGCTATATGCATGCATAATGCATGTTTCTCACGGTGATCGTGTTTTCCAGGTGTTTACCACGACGCCGGCCAGCCGGACGGCTACGTCTCGCTGCTGAAGGTGCCCGAGCTGAGTCAGGTGACCCAGACCGCCTCCGCGCTGACGCTGGGCGCCGCCGTCTCCCTCTCTCGCGTCATCGAGGAGTTCCAGAAGCTGTCCTCCACGGCCGGCTTCGGCCACTTCTCCGACATGGCCTCCCACCTGCTGCTGGTGGCCAACACGCCCGTCCGAAACGCCGGCAGCTGGGCCGGCAACCTGATGCTGAAGCAGACGCACGGCGACTTCCCGTCTGACGTGTTCCTGCTGCTGGCGGCCGCCGGCGGCCGGCTCCAGATCGGTATGGACGCCGCGGGTCGCTCCTCGCCGCCCTTCGGAAGCAGTCTGTAGGTCGCCTCTCGTCCCTTAGACTTCCCTTAGACGTCCTGCGTGTCGCCCTTACCCGAAGCCAGGGCTCAGCCTATTTCCTACTGTCTCCGATAGATGGCAGTAAGATCGTACCCCTGGAGGTATGTTGTACCGCAAGCCTTAACCCTCGCACGACCAGGCCATTTCTCATAACACGAACGACCAGGGGGGGGGGGTTGTTACGACCCCCCCTGGCGTTTCGAAACGGAAGGTCGTAGAGCTTAGCGGAAAAAACAACGGATTGCTCTCAACGAGATCTCGCGATTGGTGGTATATTTTTTGGTCCTAGGTCAACATTTGACCTACTTTTGACCGGTCAAAGGTCAAATTTTCGGAAAAATAGACTTTTTTCAACTTTCGGCGGCGATTGCGGCAAAACGGTGGGAGATATCGACTTGAAACCTTCACTATCGTGTTCCTTGATCAATTCTCTTTCGTTTGGTATGTATTTCGTTTCCCTAGCTCTAAAAATGGCGCGTTGGGAGCGCCGGAAGTCGGCAAGGTCACAGTCGGCGGCAGAAATTCGAAAAATCAAAATTTAAATTTTTGAAATCTGATTGTATTTTTGGATTTGGGAGGTTCATTTGCTCCCTATAGAAGCTAATATTGCTGCATATTCCCATTGAGGTGACAAGAATTAGCAAAATAGTGGTTCGGGCGCTTTTCAAAAATAGTACCGGACGCTGTTCCTCTTGTGACGTCATAGCTCCGTGACCTGACCTGACCCGGTCAAATTTCTTATACCATATGATAGCCAATACTTGCCCCAACATGCATGGGAAGTTTCATCACGATCCATCAACCGATGTTCGTACCACCGGCAGGAAACCTCGGGCGTTGGCACTCAGTTTGTGAAAATCCGGCCGGAGGCTGTACCTCTTATGACGTCATAACTCCGTGACCTGACATGACCCGATCAATTTTTTTTGGCAAAAGATGCGCAAAGGTTGCCCCAGAGGGTATTGAAAATTTCAGCCCGCTACGACAAGCCGTTTAGCGTGCACTTCGAAAAAACCTCAGGGGGGGTTGATACAACCCCCCCCCCCCTAGGCGTTCTAGGGTTAAATAAAGATCCGACGCACCCAGCGTACTTTAACTTGATAATTCCATTCAGAGGAGAGAAAGATAGAAAGAGAAAGAGAGATGGCGCCCTGGTTGGGTTCCACACGGGAGGAGGCGTGCGTGGGTACTGTAGGTGTGCTCCAGCGGCCGTGGTCCGCCCGGCTCACCCGTCGCTGACCGTCCCACAGCCGACGAGGACGCCGCCACCACGGAGATCTCCGTGGAGCAGCTTCTCTCCGAGGACATGGCCCGCAAGGTGATCGTGTCAGTCACGCTGCCTACCCTGGACGAGACCAAATACGTCTTCAAGTCGTACAAGGTAATTTCCATTGATAGGTAGCCGTGATTCATAGCTATACAGGGTGCGGCAAAAGTTTTGATACCTTACCATTCATTCCCTCCCTCCCGTAAAATTAAAACAACAGTTTCATTTCAGCGGTCAATGTATTCTCCACGAAGCTGGAGACAGAGTGAGAGACGTGCGGGCATGCTGGCCACCAGGTTCTTCAGAGTCTGTGGGCTGATGTTCGCCCACGTCCTCTTGAGCGCCTTCTCGAGCTGTCCAAGGTTGCTGGGAGGTTTTTTCTTGTCCAGCTCCTGCTGCATTATCCCCCAGAGCTCTTCAATTGGATTCAGGTCAGGGCTGTTCCCTGGCCACGTGTCCTTAGCCCAGAAGTTGGGGAGGTGCTCCCGGCACCACTTCTGCGCTCTGGCAGACCGATGAGCTGGAGCGCCATCCTGCATGAAAATGCTGTCCGACCTGCGCTCGACCATGCGGCGCGTGAGGACGGAGCCCGTCGTGGCCGTCCTGTTGATGGCAGGGAGGCAGACTTCCTCGAGGATGTGCTCCACGTAGTACTCGGCATTGACCGACGTCTTCTGCGGGATCACGTGCAGCTGGCTCAGTCCCTCGTAGGACATCATGCCCCACACCATCAGTTTCGACGGGAATTTGACGCTGAACGCCTTCGGGACTTCAGCCGGGTTCTCAGCCCACACTCGCTCGTTCTGGCGGTTTGGGTGGTGGAAGAGTTGAAAGGGAGACTCGTCGCTGAAGAGTACCCGTTTCCACTCTTCCACAGTCCAGTTCTTGCGTTCCTTGCAAAACTGAAGCCTCTGTGCTCGCTGTTTTTCCGTTAATTTTGGCCTTACGCGGATCTTGTAGGCTTTCAGTCCAAGGGTGTTCCTCCAGTACCGGCGGACAGTCCTCTCGGACACCGGATATTTCTTCCGAGTGAGCTGTTTGGACAGATTCCTCGCCGAGTGGCCAGATTTTCCAGCCGCTTGCTTCATCACGATCTTGGCGACGGTCGAGATGCTGGAAGGGCGCCCTGACCGCGGTCTATCTGCGACGCTCCCTGCCTCCTTAAACTTCTTCCATCAGCGTTTGATGGTGAGGACTGGGACCCAAAGTGTGAGGCAACGTCCCTCTGCGTCTTGCCGGCTTGGAGCATGCCAATGGCGCGGCTGCGAGCCTCCAAACTGTATTGTTTGACCTTCATGGTTCGTCCGTGGCTACTGCAGCGGCCACCGGGTGGATAATGACCCCGGCCGGCGACCCTCTGGGTCGAGGTCAGCTGTTCAGCTAATCCCCGCCTCGGGGAAGGATGCGGGTACGCAAGGGCGCGCTCAGAAATGTCATATTCGGGGGCATGTTGGAAATGCATTGAGTTATTACAAAAAGACGGAAGGTATCAATACTTTTGCCGCACCCTATACTCAGCCTCTTTAAAAAAGTAAACGTTTTTCATTCCAGAAAGTGTATCAGACGTGTCTCGGTGAAAACTGTTTGAACTGCGAGACATGTTGCCCGGGAATAAAAAACATCCTAATTTCATTTTTTAGCTGACTTCTGTGTAAAAAAAATGAGAAGCTAATTCTAATGTGCAATTTTAATGTGCAATGATCTGCGTTTCGCTGCAGATCACGCCCCGCGCCATCAGTGCTCACGCCTATGTGAACGCTGCCTTCGTGCTGCCGCTCGACGCCTCGTTCACCGTCGTCGAAAAGCCGACGCTGCTCTTCGGTGGAATCAGTGCCGACTTTGTAAGTCACACACGGGCAGAGCGGGAGATAAAACTACCGTGATACGTTTTGACGAAAATAAAGCCGCTGTATAGAGTTTAAAACGTACGACTAAATTAGGGCTTTAAACGTCATATTACGAACAATTATATTTGTTCCATAAGCTTGTGCATAAAACATAAATGTATTTGTCTTAGTTAACCCGCGCCCGGCTGGGGGTCCTGGATTTCCACGCCCTGCTGGGGGGGGGGTGTTTGAACACCCCCCCTTGTAACTCGGCTCCTGGGCCACGTAGCGACACGCGGAAGGCGGCGTTCGAAAGAGCGTCAAAAATAATGACGAAATCACTTCGGTCAATTTTTTGGTCAGGTCAAAGGTCAGGTCACCAGAGGTCATGGAAGGCAAAATTTCGCCGATTTCCAGGTCGAATGTCGAAAATTTCCAAGAAGCCAACGCATAACTCGGGAACCAATAGAGCTACATCGCCGCGGAAAAGCGCATTCGATAGCCCTATTAACGCCCTTTCTGAGTAATTCTCTCAGATTTGACCTAACTTCAACGGATTTGCCTGCAGGGGGCAAAAACTGCAAAAATAGCCGATTTTTTCGGAAACAGTTTTTCTGCAATAACTTTTGACCCAAGCCCTGTACGAGCTTACTTTTACCGTCATCGTGTTCCTCTTGTCAAGACGCATCGAATGAACTATAACTTGACCTTGAAAGGTCAACTTGAAAATTTGACCTCAGGTCAAGGTCATGACCTGACCGGAAAGGGTCATGTTGCATATCAGTCGATCCGTATCGTCGAGCTGAACACATCTAAGGCGTTTTCATCGCTCTAGCATGCCTCTATCAAAAGTTATTTGCGAAAAACTGTTAGATACCATTCGTGACCTAAGATGACCTCAGGGCATAAACAAGGGTCACGGACGCCATTTTCATGTTCAGTGTGTCTAAACCACTTGTAATTCGGTGTTTAGGAGTGTTTATAATGTCTTTCGTCCAAAAGAGGCGCATTTCAATTTTCTCCCATTGACTTATAATGGGGAGGTCGCAAAATTGACCTGACCTTAGGTCATCGATATCAAAATTCTGAGATATACATTTTGTACATGCTATTGCTCTTAGCAATCGCTGAAAGTTTCAAAGCGATCGGTCACTCGGTGTAGCTATGACAGACATTGAAACTTTTTATGAGGTGAGGTCACTTCAAGTGACCTGGTGACCTGACCTTGAATGACCTTGGTCTGAAATTTTCACAACATGTGTAGAATTGATGTATGATAAGGTGTACCAAAAACGGCGGCGCTCCGCGCCGCCGTTTTTGAGATATTCGCGAAAAACCACAAGGGGGGGTGTTCAAACACCCCCCCCCCCCAGCTGGGCGCGGGTTAAAAAGCAATGGTACAATGCGTGGTTCACAGTGAATTCGTAATGACCGTTACGTGCCGTAAGTAATACGGCAGGGGAACCGTTTAATAAACCGTTTAATTAGACTGTCGAAACCGTTTAAAGTGGGAAATGAAGATCGTGCTCTCGTTGTAGTTCTACGTGTTTCTCCAGCTCTAATATCAGAACAGAGCTGTCCCACTGTCATCCACCTGCACACCTCTGAACTCTCTCTCTCTCTCTCTCTCTCTCTCTCTCTCTCTCTCTCTCTCTCTCTCTCTCTCTCTCTCTCTCTCTCTCCCTCTCTCCACATAGGTACACGCCACCAACACGGAAGCGTTCCTGGAGGGACGTTCGCTGACCGACGAGCAGACGGTGCAGGGCGCGCTGGCCGCTCTTCAGGCCGAGGTGGTACCGACCCCCGACCCGGCAGAGGCCGACCCGGCCTACCGACGCAGCCTGGCCTGCGCACTCCTGTACAAGGTAGGTGCCAGACAGGTCTCCATGTGCTGCCGTTTGGGGAGTTTAATAAAACTACGGTCACAGGGGGAGAATGTTGATAATACAATTATGAATATAAGTGAACACAATTATGTGAACGAAGGTTATCTGAAAGTGAAACGGTTCCGTCAATCTGCCGACCACCGTCGGGCCGGTCCTCCTTTCAGACAGCTCGGCTGGTCCAGTGATCTCTCGTCCACGATCAGTCCTCTCCGCGGGTGACCCCACCGTGTCTGTCCCCCAGGTGGTGCTCCGGGTGCTCGGTGACCAGGTGCCGGCCCCTCTGCGCTCCGGGGGAGAGGACCTCACCCACCCGGTCAGCTCGGGCACCCAGCAGTTCGACACGGACCAGACCCTGTGGCCCGTCAACAAGGCTGTGCCCAAGCTGGAGGCGCAGGCGCAGACCTCCGGTACGTGGAGAGGGTGTTGCGGCTGCAACTGAGAATGAGGAGAGGGCTGGGTGGCTAGGACGATATGGAACTGACGAAAGGTATTAACCGTGTGACTTTGTTTTCATCGATTCCTTTTTAAATTGTTTTATTGACCTAAGTCATTTGAACATGTACGACTAGAATACATACGTGTGTTTTGATGCATTCCCCAATATTTGTTCCACCGCAATGCCTCTGGAAGCCGTATTCAAATCGTCACGTGCCCGATCTGTGACGACCCACTCGGTCACCAGGCGAGGCCAAGTACACCGCCGACGAGCCGGCCGAGCCGGACGAACTGGTGGCCGTCTATGTGCAGACCACGATCGCCAACGGCAAGGTGGCCAGCGTGGACACGAGCGCCGCGCTGGCCGTGCCTGGCGTGGCCGGCTACGTGTCTGCCGCCGACATCGCGGGCGTCAACAACATCTGCAGCTACGGAGACACCGTCGAGGAGGTGGGACACACCGAGCCATCGGCCGAGACATGAAACCAGCGAGCCATGGTCGATCTCATTGATAGCGATGAGGGAGACGGCTTGGGCCGAGTCGCGTCGCTGACTTGTGTGTCTGTCTGTCTGTCTGTCTGTTTGTCTGCTTGTCTGTCTGTTTTTTCTCTTTGCCTCAGCCTGTCTAAATGTCTTACCTACAATATGTAGGCCCGTCTTTTACTTTGACATATCTCCGTCCGTCTAACCGGTCACCTCTCCGTCTCCCGCAGCTGTTCACCTCGGGCCAGGTGCTGTACTACGGCCAGGCAGTGGGTCTGATCGTGGCCGACACGTACAGCGCCGCCCGTACCGCCGCCGGCCTCGTCAAGATCACCTACACAGACGTGCAGCCGCCGGTGCTCACCATCAAGGAAGCACTGAAGAAGCAGGGCGGGTCGGCCCCCGCCGCCCCCGCTGCAAAGACCAACGCCAAACAGGGTAGGTGCCAGGAGACATATAATCAATATACTGGCTGTTTGATGGTCACGGCTCAATAATCGGTGTCTTCAGGTGTTGTGGCGCTTAGGTAAGGCAGTAACGTCACCCATTAATTGATAATATTCCATCCGTATTCTTACAATAAATTGGGAACATTAGATATTAGCTACGGTTATTTAACCCGCGCCCCACTGGGGTCTGCGTATAACACGCCCTACTGGGGGGGGGGGGGGGGCTATATCCATAGCCCCCCCCCCTCCTAACTCCGAAACTACTGGGCCAATCGTCAAAATTCAAACGGTGTCTGATAGCCCCAGAAAAACTGTCGAGCGAAACCTAATTTCATTGACCTCGAGGTCACCGATGACGTCGCAGGTCAGGTCAAAGTAAAAATTATTAGCATTTTGGCTTGTTCACATTTTGGGCTCTGGCCGCCGTCTTACGAGTCAGATCAGGCTCATTTTTGGTTTACACACTCGTGAACAGATGCTCTAGATACCTTTGGGGTACCAAACTTGTACTTTGATTTTCAGGTCAGGGTCAGCCCGGGTCAGGTCATCACAGGTCACGGAAATATTATATCATGTGTCGGTCATGTGACACATGTTTATGGTCCATTTAGGCCATAGATTTCGAATCTGATGTCGTCTGTGTCATTCGAGGTCATTTTGAGTCGAATTTAGCTTAGGTCAGGTCACTTTCAGGTCAAAAAAGGTCAAATTTTGAAGTTGAAAATTTTCAACAAAAAAGTTGTCTAATGAATGCAGTTTGAGCTCAGGAACACGATGGTGCTATCTATATTGGGATACGATATCAAATACGTACTGAAAAATTGATTTTAAAATTAATAATTGTGTTTTTTTTTGCAATAATGCGTATAACTTGGCCATTTTTGAAGATATTCAGCTAGAACTTGCTAGAGTTAGTCATAAGTATGCGTTCTGTCACATATATTCCGTTTTTTTTTTCGAAAAATCGAAAACTTTTTGAAAAAATATAAAAATATAAATTTTGAATATTATTATATAAAATTTTCGAAATTTACACAATTTTGAAAATCTGAGATAGCAGTTTGATAGCACAGTCAATTCTGAGTCCTTTCATGCAAAGAAATTGGATCTAGCTTAAAAACTGAGCTCTTGGGAGCGATTGCCGTGGTTCAATGTTTTACGTCGAAATCGGCCGAACATGACGTCACTCTGACGTCATTTCCGGCCGACCTATGGTAGCTACGAAGTTCAAATTTTGACACAAGGTGTCAAATTGATGCCACCGAAGGTACTGAAAGTTTGGCGTTGATACATCAAGTGGTTTGGAAGTTATTGCAGAAAAACGGGAGGGGGGCTATAAATAGCCCCCCCCGTGGGGCGCGGGTTAATAAACCGACCGTTACATTTGGGAGCCGGCAACATAATTTCACCGTCTGGTCCGTAACTATCTTCCGACGCCGTTCACACATGCTGCACTGTATGTCTAATAGGAGCCGTCCCGCCCCCTCCCACCCCGTCCCGTCTCTCCAGGTGTGCGTCAGGTCATCGGCGAGTTCAGCATCGGCGGTCAGTACCACTTCACCATGGAGACGCAGACGGTGCGCGCCGTGCCGAGGGACGACGACCAGCTGGACCTCTTCAGCGCCACCCAGGACATGAGGGACGTCAACAAGGTCGTCTCTCAGATCACCACTCTGCCCATGCACAAGTGAGACGACCAGTGTCGATCAGCTTCGCGGGCGGTAGAGGGAGATATACGGCTTTGAAATTAGTCAGCGGTACGGACGATTGGTGGATATAAGGATTGTCGATTAAATAAAAACGGTATGAAGAATTAGTTTCACCCATGATATGACTCAGCATCAGCACCTGCACCTCACTGGCTGTCGTCGCCATAAAAAAGAATATCGGGAAGGTATCGTGGCAGCGCATGCTAAGCGAGGTCTCCAGAACTGAATGCTATTTATCAGTCCCTGACGCTCTCCCGTCCATCAGGATCAACATGTCTGTGCGCCGACTGGGCGGCGGGTACGGTAGCAAGCTGCAGCACCCGAGCCGCGTGGCCAGCGCCGCCGCCGTGGCCGCGCTGACCGTCAACAAGCCCGTCCGACTGGTGCTCGACATTAGGACCAACATGACACTGCTGGGCGGCCGGCTGCCCTACCTGATCCAGTACCAGGTGAGTACAAAATCCGGCATGGTGTTATGATGCATCGTTTTGCTAGAGCCGTGTTCTTTAAAGTAATTAACGCTGCTCTATGGGCTACATCGTTGTCTACAACACACTGCATGCAATATTCAGTCTCTTGGGCCGTCTCCAAACCATCCGTTTCCCACAGCGTGCTTCTCAGCATTCCATCCATCCCTATGACCTGACCCGGGTGACCTGCCTGCCGTCAGGCGGAGGCCGATGAAACCACCGGCAAGATCTCCAGCCTGCAGATCAAGTTCACGGCGGACGCGGGCGCGGTGGGGTACGCGGCTGACGACACATCCTCGGCGCTGGACACGGTCACCAACGTGTACGAGGCCGAGGGCTGGCAGACGGAGGGGACTGCGGTGCTGACCAACACGGCCTCCAACACGTGGTGCCGCGCGCCAGGTGAGCCCGGCCGCCCGGCCGGCCGGCGCAGAAAAACGGTGTGCTGGCCTCAATGGAATACCTACATATCGGAAAATGAGAAAACAGGCAGTGGTAAACCGATGAAGCGTTTGATGTGAGACAATTGTCATTATGTGTAGGAGTCTGATTCTTTTTATATCTTCCTCCACTGGCTCTACAATCTACATTATATGGTATGTAACCGATAACGGCAATGAGTCCAGTCAACTTCCCCGAATTTCCTAACTCTATGCTTTGACCTCTCCTGACCAGAATCGATACCTGATTCGCTTACGCTGTAGTTTTGTGACCTGCCGTGACCTCTCGTGACCCCCTGTGACCCAGGAACGGTGCAGGGCGTGTCGGGTATCGAGTGTGTCATGGACCACCTGGCTCACGAGCTGGGCATGGACCCGTGGGCGCTGCGACAGGCCAACTTCTTCGGGCCCGACACCAAGTTCAGGTGAGACTCCACACTCTAAAAGGGAATAGGTAACTGCTTATCGTATGTATAACTCTATGGTCAGACTTGCATGAAATAGCTCTGATGTGAGAGCGAGCAGTCGACAGTCTGGAAGAGTAGTCGGTTACGTGTAAGTCAGCAAAGGGCATGGACGTCTGCTGCGACGTGTGTGTATGTACATATAACATTGGTGTCGGGTGGCGCTGACGGGATAACCCGGTACGACCGTGACACACAGGAAGGGCGGCAACCGCGCCACCGACTACGACGTCTTCATGCAGATGGTGACGGAGATGTTCTCCGAGGCCGACATCGACGCCAGGAAGGCCGAGATCGCCCAGTTCAACCAGGTGACCGACTGATGACGAGTCGTGGCGTGATAGTACACAGAATGCGGGCTATAAGGAATGCCTATGGTACTCCACAACCTAAGTTAACCCGCGCCCCGCTGGGGGGGGGGGGCAGAATCTGCCCCCCCCCTCCCGTTTTTCGCCAATAACTTCTAAACGCGTTACGCCAGCGACGTCAAACTTTCAGTACCTTATCATACATCAATTTGACACGTTCCCTGAAAATTTGAGCGAAATCCGTCGGAAAATTTTTGAGAAATTGACGTTTTAGTGACGTCATGTTCGCCATGTTCGCCTCAAAAACGGCAAAATTTCAAACGCCGCTAACATCTTCATTTTTAAAGGAATCAAGACGTAACAAAAAAGGTTATACGTGATTCTACTTTGTCTGTCAAATGGCTATCTCGGTTTTTTTTTGAAAATTTTGGATTTTGGCCAAAATTTTTCAAAAAAACTGACTTTTTTGGGAAAATATTTATAAAATCCAAAATTTTAAGTTTATCGAAAAACCGGAATAAATGTCAAAGAAGCGGTCTATGTGCACCTACATACCAATTTTTTGAAGAATCGGTTTAAAAATGTGGGAGTTATTCAAAATTTTATGACGTCACGGACTCACGACACACAAAAAATTTGAAAAATGATTTTTTTTGGAAGTTCTAGACCTCGTACGGAAACAAAAATAGCACCATTCGATTCGCCGTGAAAAACTGCATCGAATAGACACCTATTTAGGCCTTAACAATCAACTTCAAAATTTGACCTCACTTGACCTGACCTTGACCTGACCTCGACCTGAAATTCATCCAGAGGTGGTCCATATCACTTATTGAGTGTGCCTATTGAATTCCATGAGTAAAATGACCCATAAAACATGTGTCGCACATGCCCTTTTCTATATTTTGTTTTTGGTGACCTGACCTGACCTGACCTGATCTTGACCTTGACCTTTGAATGACATTGTGTGCAACGAATATTGTCTTGGTAGTCTAAGAACACGTTTTGGGCAATCAGTCTCAGTCCATTCTTCGGCAACTACGGTGAAAGGGCGATACTGTAGAAACTTGTATTTTGTACCCTTGACCTGACCTTGACCTGACCTCTGACCTACTTAAGCAAAAAAATGGGCTCTTAAGATCCGCCTTGTTGAGAGCTTTCGATTGCCGTTTTCCCCGTCTTTCTACGACCATCGGTTCGGAAGTTAGACAGGGGGGGGCAGAATCTGCCCCCCCCCCCCAGCAGGGCGCGTATGGCTGAATAGCCCAGCGGGGCGCGGGTTAACGCTTTTATAGTTGGCACTTGGATGTAGCTCATGGAGACCATTTGATTAGCCATATGATATCTCTATGATCCTACTGGCACTGCTTTCATCCGTCATTTTGTGAGATGATATACGGTGGGTCTATGAACTTCTCATTCTCATCCGTCTGTTTGTCTGTCCGTTGCTCAGGACAACCGCTGGCGGAAGCGTGCTCTGTCGCTGGTGCCGGTCCGCTGGCCCATTCTCCTGTTTGCCAGATATCCGACCGTGGTCTCCATCTTCAAAGACGACGGAACGGTGGCAGTGTCCACCGGCGGCGTCGAAATGGGACAGGGACTCAACACCAAGGTACGGGCCGAGCGAGTGATCGTACTAGGATCGACATTCACATGTTTTAATGATGACGAGTCAATCAGTAAGCTAGGATATCAAGTATTGCTGAAAGGTTGAAGCGTTTCTGCCGCTGAGTCAGCCAGTGTCCGTCAGTCACATCAGTCTGTCTCAGTCCGCGGCAGTCAGTCCGTCTCGCCAGAGCCCGTCTATACCGACTCGTTACAGGTGGCCCAGGTGTGCGCCAAGGTGCTGGGCATTCCCCTGGAGCTGGTCTCCGTCAAGCCCAACATGAACATCATCAACCCGAACGGAGATGCTACGGGAGGCAGCGTGGGCAGCGACATGAGCAGCTTGGTGAGAAATACGCCGTCGGGAGATACACTGGAGATCTGTGGCGAGAGAGAGGGAGAGAGAGAGGAGTGAGAGAGTGAGAGAGAGAGAAGAGAGAGAGAGTGAGAGAGAGAGAAGAGAGAGAGTGAGAGAGAGAAGAGAGAGAGTGAGAGAGAGAAGAGAGAGAGAGAGAGAGAGAGAGAGAGAGAGAGAGAGAGAGAGAGAGAGAGAGAGAGAGAGAGAGGAGAGAGAGAGAGAGAGAGAGAGAGAGAGAGAGAGAGAGAGAGAGAAGGGATGGGAGGGAGGGAGAAACTGTGATGAAAACGGATCGGTCCGATTTACAAAAGCTTCAGGAGAGTAGTTTTGATGAATACTAAAGAGGCACAAATTTGGATAGAACAAGGCTGCATTCGGCAGTTGGTTCCGGTTTGACGCGTACTGACTGACCAAAATAGGTTCATGTAAGGCAGTTTATCACTCGTAAAAAAAAGAAGTGTCAAAAAGAATACAAGGCCACTAAGAAAAGGGAATGATATCTACAAATAGTGTGGAATGATTGAGGCGGCGCTGGGCGGGTGGGCATTTCTCGTGACTCTTCCGTTGCCCTCCTCTCGCCTCCAGGCCACCAAGGCAGCCTGCGAGGAGATGAACGAGCGCTTGGCGCCGTTCAAGGCCGAGGGCAGGGCTTGGGCCGACGTCGTCAAGAGGGCCTTCAACCTCGGCGTCAACCTCACCGCCTACCATTAGTAAGTTTATGGCATCGTCGAGCTTACCGTCCACCTAGTGATTTTTCACTCCGCAAGGTCTTTTACTATAGAAATTCGCTACTCACGAAGAATCCCGCTCAAGTAGTAAGCATGCAGTCAAAACTCTCGGCTTTTCTATCCCCCACCGTCTAACCGTCTGCACAGAGCGCTCTGTCAGACGCCACCGGCTAACGGCTCTATAACCCGTGGTGTCCACAGTCAGAAGCCGATCTTGACGCCGTACAACATCTTCGCGCTGGCTGCCGTGGAGCTGGAGATGGACGTGCTGACGGGTCAGTACCGGCTGAACCGCACCGACCTCTACGAAGACGCCGGACAGTCGCTCTCGCCGGCCATCGACATTGGACAGTGTGAGGGCGCCTTCATCATGGGCATGGGCCTGCACATGGGCGAGGAAAACCGCTACGACACCGAGACCGGCCGCAAGCTCACCGACTCCTCCTGGAACTACTACGTGCCGTCCAGCAAGGACATCCCCACCGACTTCCGCGTGAAGCTCATCAAGAATAACGACAACCCCATCGGAATCTTCAACTCCAAAGGTAAACTTAGATTCTCATTTCCATCTCATTTTACTCTGGACTGTGCATTTGTTATGCATTTTTCGGCCATTTGTTATCCATATTTTTACTGTAACTTCTACAGAAATTTAACAAATATCATTATAAGTGACAGTTTAAAGATCGTTCGTCTACATTCGGCCTTACTTTATCCTTATCCTTATGTTCGGCCTTATGTAATCCCCGCTCTGACAAGCCCCGCGCGCTGGCAGCCACCGGCGAGCCGCCCCTGTGCACCACCTACGCGGCCATCAGCGCGCTCCGGCAGGCCGTGGCCGAGGCCAGGAAGGATGCTGGACACACCGACTGGACACAGCTGGGTGAGTGGGGATGGCAGCTGGGTGAGCGGGGATGGCAGCTGGGTGAGCTGGGATGGCAGCTGGGTGAGTGGGGATGGCAGCTGGGTGAGCGGGAATGACAGCTGGGTGAGTGGGGATGGCAGCTGGGTGAGTGAGAATGGCGGCTGGGTGAGCGGGGATGTCAGCTGGGTGAGTGGGAATGGCAGCTGGGTGAGTGGGAATGGCAGCTGGGTGAGCGGGGAACGGGGATGGCAGCTGGGTGAGTGGGAATGGCAGCTGGGTGAGTGAGGATGGCAGCTGGGTGAGTGGGGATGACAGCTGGGTGAGTGGGGATGGCAGCTGGGTGAGTGGGGATGGCAGCTGGGTGAGTGGGGATGGCAGCTGGGTGAGCGGGGAACGGGGATGGCAGCTGGGTGAGTGGGAATGGCAGCTGGGTGAGTGAGGATGGCAGCTGGGTGAGTGGGGATGACAGCTGGGTGAGTGGGGATGGCAGCTGGGTGAGTGAGAATGGCAGCTGGGTGAGCGGGGATGTCAGCTGGGTGAGTGGGAATGGCAGCTGGGTGAGTGGGAATGGCAGCTGGGTGAGTGGGGATGGCAGCTGGGTGAGTGTGGGAATGGCAGCTGGGTGAGTGGGAATGACAGCTGGGTGAGTGTGGGGATGGCAGCTGGGTGAGTGTGGGAATGGTAGCTGGGTGAGTGTGGGGATGGCAGCTGGGTGAGTGGGAATGGCAGCTGGGTGAGTGGGAATGGCAGCTGGGTGAGTGGGAATGGCAGCTGGGTGAGTGGGGATGGCAGTTGGGTGAGTGGGGAACGGGGATGGCAGCTGGGTGAGTGAGAATGGCAGCTGGGTGAGTGGGGAACGGGGATGGCAGCTGGGTGAGTGGGGATGGCAGCTGGGTGAGTGGGGATGGCAGTTGGGTGAGTGGGGAAATGGCAGCTGGGTGAGTGAGAATGGCAGCTGGGTGAGCGGGGATGTCAGCTGGGTGAGTGGGAATGGCAGCTGGGTGAGTGGGAATGGCAGCTGGGTGAGTGGGGATGGCAGCTGGGTGAGTGTGGGAATGGCAGCTGGGTGAGTGGGAATGGCAGCTGGGTGAGTGTGGGGATGGCAGCTGGGTGAGTGTGGGAATGGTAGCTGGGTGAGTGTGGGGATGGCAGCTGGGTGAGTGGGAATGGCAGCTGGGTGAGTGGGAATGGCAGCTGGGTGAGTGGGAATGGCAGCTGGGTGAGTGGGGATGGCAGTTGGGTGAGTGGGGAACGGGGAAGGCAGCTGGGTGAGTGAGAATGACAGCTGGGTGAATGGGGAACGGGGATGGCAGCTGGGTGAGTGGGGATGGCAGCTGGGTGAGTGGGGATGGCAGTTGGGTGAGTGGGGAACGGGGATGGCAGCTGGGTGAGTGGGAATGGCAGCTGGGTGAGTGGGGATGGCAGCTGGGTGAGTGGGAATGGCAGCTGGGTGAGTGGGGATGGCAGCTGGGTGAGCGGGAATGGCAGCTGGGTGAGTGGAGAACGGGGATGGCAGCTGGGTGAATGGGGATGACAGCTGGGTGAGTAGGGATAGTAGCTGGGTGAGCGGGGATGGCAGCTGGGTGAGTGGGGATGACAGCTGGGTGAGTAGGGATGGTAGCTGGGTGAGCGGGGATGGCAGCTGGGTGAGTGGGGATGGCAGCTGGGTGAGTGGGGATGGCAGCTGGGTGAGCGGGGATGTCAGCTGGGTGAGTGGGAATGGCAGCTGGGTGAGTGGGAATGGCAGCTGGGTGAGTGGGGATGGCAGCTGGGTGAGTGAGAATGGCAGCTGGGTGAGTAGGGATGGCAGCTGGGTGAGTGGGGATGGCAGCTGGGTGAGTGGGAATGGCAGCTGGGTGAGGGGATGGCGGGGATGGCAGCTGGGTGAGTGGGGGATGGCAGCTGGGTGAGTGGGGATGGGACAGACAGCGCACCGGCTGCACTGCTGCCGTAGACGACACCGAACAACGGTCCACTCTGCATCACAGTCGCGTGATTAGTTTTTCGCCTCGGTTGACAAAGTACAGACTGTCGTCGCATTGAAACCGGAAGTTCGTGGTTTGATCATTCTCGCTCACAATAAATCAATACGTCTAAAATAATGATTTTATGATACACCTAATCAGCCTGTCGCCGTTCGGTTGTCCCTGTATCTTGCTGCTACCCGTCAATGGGCGACCTTGTTATCTGGCTGTACTGTTTGTCAGTGGGTGACCCCGTTGCCTGCCGCCCGCAGACGCTCCGGGCACGGTGGAGAAGGCGCAGACGGCCTGCCAGCTCAGCCCCGAAATGTTTGTGATCTCGTAACGGACTAGAGGTCACAAACGGCCGTCAGAAGGCGACCCGCGACAGAGACACAGACGACGTGTGACCGGAGATCAATGTCATATGCTGTGACTCAGGGCTGATTGCGTCTTCCAGTGGTACTTTCAGATCAATTTGCAACACTTATGCAAATGGGATACAATGGGGGGCATTATCGCAAATGATGTGTGACATAATTGATGAAGTGTTGATACGTACGCCAGATGATAGAAGATGAAAATATTCGGGATACGATGGACGTACGTTGAAGGATTCGGTGTTTAGTGATTTATTGTTCAGCGCTACATATTATACATATTTTTGTTTACAAAATATAGATAAGCGTCCCGTAGATTTGTGTGTGTTTTTTTCATCAAGAAAGACGCTGAATCATTGGATGCTTCACAAATACAATGACTGTTGCTTACCAAACATATGAACTTGAAACATGTATCAGGTATCTGCATTTACATACATGCATTATTGCTGAATCAATACAGATAATAAAAGGCAAACGGCGTTTCAAATAAGTAACAGCGATAAACCGTATACTATGGAGAATGGAGGGAGAGTTGAGGGACCGTCGGTGCTGGAGACACGTCGGGGCTGTATTTCAGTTGGCTGAAGGGGCGGCGCCGGTACGGTACGGTCGACGAGGAGCTCCCATCTTGCAGTGTAGTCGGTCGGAGAAGCGTCGGGGCTGTAATTCAGTCGCTCAGAGGGCGGTGCGGTAGCGGTGCGGTCGAAGAGAGGGGTCCCGTAGTTTGGTGCAGTCGGAGGAGGGATATATACGATAAGGGATATATTTTGGTCGGCTGTCGGTCGGATGGGTGGCGCCGGTACGGCACGGCCTGGGAGAGGAGCCTCCAGTCAGAGGAAGAGGTGTTGGTGGTAGACCCGTGCACCAGCCGATATGGTCGGAGTGAAAAGGGTGGGGAGCTGGCGCATCTGTCTGGCGGTTCTGCTCGTCTCTGGATTCATCTCAGCATCAGACTCGTCACTGGAACCAATCTATATCGGTGAGCAAACCAAACTGGTGAATGAAAATAGATCCAACTCTTCACACTGAAAATTTAATCATTCTACTTTTATTATTCGTTAATTATATTGCATGCGTATGTAATATTGATATCGACGATATCGTGCACATGTAGGCATTCTGTTCCACTTCACAAACTTATGATGGAAATGTGGAAGCTTGTGAAAAGTGTAAATAACAGATATTGGAGCAATCATATCCTTTCAAAGATAATTGACGGCTCAGATGATAGCAGGTAGGTGATAAACAGATCATGGATTCGTTCAGCGAAGCGGCATTTACTCTGTCTTATAATTGCGAGCCACTCGCCAAGCAAAATGATTCGACTTCACTTTACCGACCTAAGTTGACATACTTGTCGTTAAATTCATATGTGGTATTTTTCTGAAAGTGAAAGAGTGAGAAGAATTGTATAGATTTTTACGTTTTGTATCCGCTGTGAAACGGTTTTATCTATCAAGACTCTAGTTGGACGTTTTACAACAATATTCAATTTCAAACAAGGTTCAATCGAACTCTTTCTTTTTTTTAACAAGCCGCACTAAATAACCACAATCCTGTCTAGTCTCGCTGCTGGCCAACTATCGCGACATAGAGCCCTGTTCTTCATGCGTGGCCGACTTGCTCTATACTCTCAAACCGGTGTGCTGCCAAAGCCCGGGCTACCGCGCTCCAACCGCGCTCGCCGCTGCCAAAAAACGTCCTGACAATGGCAAACAGGCGATCACGCCTGCAATAACTCCCGGATGGGCATGTAGCGCGTGCGGTTCCACGAGGAATTACGAGAGCTACGACTGATCAAATCGGGAAGATGATATCAGAAATGGAATAATTCGGATTGAAGTGCAACTCAGAATATAGTAACGTAGCACAGAAACATGGAAGCTGTGCGCCTAGCAGCGAGTTGGTCTGCTTTGGTTCGCTTAAGTCGGTTTATTTTTCTCTTTTTCAGTCGGTCTATTTTGGTCCGTTCTGTTCCGTTTCAGTCGGTCTGTTGTGCTCCGCGTCGATCTGCTTCAGTCCTTGTCTTATAATCCGTCTTGGCCCATTTTAGTCTGTCGATTTTGGTCCGTTTTAGTCGGTCTGTTTTGGTCCGGTTGGGTCCGTTACAGTTGGTCCGTTTTTGGTGTGCTTTCGTCGGTCCGTTTCATTCGGTTTGTTGAAGTCCGTCTCAGTTGGTTCATTCTGGTCCGTCTCAGTCTGTCCGTTTTTGGTCTGTTTTGGTCTATTTCGGTCCGTTTCGGTTCATTTTCGTTGGCCCGTCAGTGGTATCGGTCCGCTTCAGTCAGTTCATTCCTGTCCATTCCCGTTGGTCTGTTTCGGTCCAATCCAGATGGTCTGTTTCGGTCCATTCTAGTCTGTCTGGTTGTGGTCTGTCGTGGCTCGCTTCAGCCGGTCCATTTCTGTCCGTTCCAGTCGGTGTGTTGTGGTCCCTTTGGTTCGTTTCAGTCGGTCCATTTCTGTCCCTTCCAGTCAGTCTGTTTTGGTCAATTCCAGCCGGTGTGTTGTGTTCTGTTTGATCCGTTTCAGTCGGCCTGTTGTGGTCCGTTTATCAGTCGGTCTGTCTGGTTGTGGCCTGTCGTGGTTCGTTTCAGTCGGCCCGTCTCTGTCCTTTCCAGTCGGTCTGTTCGGTGAGGGCGAGCAGCGGCAGGAGGCGGCATTTCTGCAGGCTGTGCGCACGGTCAACTGTGACGAGCGGCTTCTACCGGGCCGACAGCTGAGAGGGCAGGTGGAGCGCGCTCTGCCTCTCAACAGCAGTTTCCAGGTCACTCGGCGAGGTATGTCGGTCCTCCCTGCTATAGAGATTCATTGCGACGACGGAATATTTTGATAAGTTATCCTGTTGTATCAATTGTGTTCGTTGCAGTGTATTCCACCGGTTTACAGCACCCGTCCGCTGCAGTGCATTTCCCTGGTTCACTGCAGTATCGTTCATTGCAGTGTGCTCCGCTGGTTCACGGCGGTCATCTGTTACAGTGTGCTCAGCCGTGGAGCGTGGGGTGGCGGCTGTGATCGGACCCCAGTCGCCCGCCGCCGCCGCTCACGTTCAGAGTCTCTGCGACGCACTGGAGCTGCCCCATCTGCAGTTAAAGCTGCTGCATGAAAAGTTCGCAAAAACTGCTCTCTTTAGCAGCACATACTTTCACTAGTTACTGCAAAAAGGACTAATCAATTACCAAAAAGGAAATTGTGTAAGGCCGAAAAGACGTGCAAAAAGGTTATATCCTAGATAAGTGATAGGGTAGCCTGGGGCAAGACGCCCCAGATAATTTATTTTGCTACATAAATTTTGTCCCACATCACCTGGAAGGCCAAATTTGTGCTCAATGCGTTCTTTGGACATTTTACTTTAAATTGCACCCCTCAAATTCATTCACTTATGATCGGACTCCAAGCTAGGAAGTGATTTGTGAAGCAACTGCAAATGGGGCATTTTGCCCCAATCCCAGGGCAAAACGCCCCACGGCCTGGGGCAAGTAGCCCCATACTTTAGATTACAGATTTAACATGGTAGTTGGCTTAATCTTATGTGAGAGGTCCGTTAGACCTCTGGAGGCACGGCTCTGAAGTTAGCACATTCCATCCTGTCAGGTGTTCAGCTATGACACTATTGTATGAGCAGGTTTTTCACCTGCTTCATAAGACCAAATAATAAATTATTGCAATGCAAATGTTTACAGAATACTTCCTTTGCCATCCAGTTGCTGAGAAAAATACACATAAAGGCATAGAAACTTACTGTTCGCCAGCTACCGAACATTAGAAAGTGGGTAGCCCGAACAACACATGAGGTAAAACGCCCCATGGGGCTTTTTGCCCCGCGACCTACTGGGGCGTTTTACCCCATCACGTAGTTCGGTCAGAGAACAACGCTTTGCACTCCAGCAAGACATAATTTAACACGAACCAACCCGGCATGATAAGCGTTAGACAATAGTTGTTCAAAATACATAAAAGTCGTTAACCTGATGTGGACCATAAAAGAACGCCATGATGCATAATCTGACAACAAAACATAAAAATCACTCAAAAAACACATTTTTGGCTATATCTCCCGAAAGAGTCATCACAATTTCTTTCCAGTCTGCTCATATAATGATCATATAGTGCACGTTTTATAGAAGAGAGGATGTTTCCCCAGAACTCTGCCAGTTCCGAGAAACATCGGTGAGGCGTTTTACCTCGGCGGGGCGACTTGCCCCGGTCTACCCTAACTATTACAAGTCTCAATGATTGTGTTTTGCATTCTGCAACATTCCCGTGTAAGTGCATCTTTCAAGCATCCAACACATTATAAAATTAAAAAATAGTAATGGAACATTTATTAACACTTCATATCATCTGCATGAAAAACAAATGTAAATATATACACAAACAAACGCACGGGAAATAACGAAAGGTCGCTCATATAGGTACCTGCACAGTGCACACTCGCAGTGACCGACGATTAACGCGAGGTCGACTGGGGGAGGCGGGGGGGGGGGAGGGGTCGTTGAACCGACGTTCCGTTCATGGCCATAAGTTCGACCTCATCCACGACCAGACGGCGTTTAGTGATAGACGGAACCGGAGACCCCGTGTTGTTGTCGTAGTTGTCCTCCATTGTAAGCGGTAGTCGACGGAAGAACTGACCAGGCCCCATGCCTGGAGCAAAAAAAAAAAAACTGGATCAGTTCCAAGATTTTTTTTTCTGTTGGGAGCTATTTTCGCAAACAACACAACTTTCCTTCAGACCAAGAAGCGCGATTTGCCAGAGTCGGAATATGAAGCACTTAAACAATATAAGATAATGTCAAAAGATACAACGTGTCAGACTCACCAAAGTCGATCAACGTCGGTGTCGGTGGCATGTGTCGGTGGCAAATGCTCATGTACCACCCGGCCCCGGAGCACTTCACTTCACTTCACTGCACTGCTGCACTGCACTTCCCTCCACCTCACTGCCTCCCGGAGCAGGGGCACGCACTCCCATGCCACGCACGACGGATTCCACCGATGATAGCTGATTTAAGCTATCATTCCAGAGCTATCACTCGGTGGCATGTGCCCGGAGCACTTCACTTCACTTCATTTCACTTCATATACCGGAGCATGTGCACACACTCCCACCACGACCAACGGACTCCACTAAAATGGCGCAACACGTGGCCGGAAACAGCTGGCACGCGCATGCGCATATCGCTCTGCGCCGTCAAAACGTGCTAAAGGGCTGGTGATAAGACTCCCAGAGATTTGTAAAGCAGGGCTTAGCTACTTTCTTTGGCGCCAATTTCAAATTTGTTTCCTCTGTAAGCATGTCCGGTTCTATTGTGATACTAACGTAAGCACCATATTCAGCATTACCAACTTCTAAAACACTTAAAATGGTTCTAATTAGAAATCCAGCTTGAAAAAGCACTCACTGATGGACTGGGTACTAGCAGAAGTAGACGTTAAGCTCAGTAGAAGAATAGGTGATCTAAAATTATAATATTT